CCACGTGACAGTTATTGGCAGCATGACTCTTGACAGCCGCTACACCACACTGTGCATAGTTTATGATAGTGTTGCAGATGGTGCAGAACGCTTCCTCTTGTTTTCCCCATTGTCTGCACCAAACAGAGATGACATCACCATTGGAATCAATCTCAATAAGCACTTGGTTATTAAACTTGCTTTGACGACCTGAAAGAAAATGTTGCCCTGATTACACAAACTTCTGATAATACAACTTAAACACAAACTTGAATATCTATTTTTGCAAATGCAAGGTAAATTGAGCCACAATATAGCACAAAAAATAATTGAAATAGGTATCGCAAGGCACGGTAATATCATTGTATAATGCTATGATTATATAAAACTCCACGGCGACAGGCGCGCTGTTAATTTTCACAACCGCGTTTCATATGCTACCGAGCAATTTTAAAAAATCCAAAATTCGATATATTATGAGTTCAGTCAGTGCAGATCAGTCAGTGTGTTATGACCCAGATCAAGATTACACGATAGTAACTTCATGCGCACATCAATACATAACACGTGGCTGCTGATGCCGCACGGTCACTTCGTACGAACTACTGCCGCTACTGCGTTGAGCTGTGCTGCATGGAGACAGTTACAAATCGCAAACAATGTGAAATAATGAGCTGTGATCCCGCAATACAAGTCTCCATGAATAACTTGCTAGTAAATGCACCTAATGGCACTTGTGCCTTTTATATTTTTGTTCACATCAGTTCAGAGCTAATAATGTGCGATTTAAAAACAGGACTTGTGTCGAACAAAGAAAAGACGAGCCCCTCGATAATTCCGGTGCTTTTAGGGGCTAATGATGTCACAGGAGGGGACATCTAAAGCAAACGCGCCCAAAAACAGCACGAAATGTGCGTCAAAAACGCGACAATAAACAGTAGGTTTGACAGCACAATAACATCAAGGTTTTTACAAAGAATTACAATCGGAGGCTCAAACACTACAACTTTAACTTTTCAAGCATTATATCCACATCAGCCAACACAAAACAGGCGTCAACGACATATGTCACAGGCTTACCTTTCCCTCGTAAAAGCCATTTGGTTGCCTGCCGGAACGGCCAATGCGCCCAGCTCGTGTGACTGGTGCGACGTTCTTTGGCCACTAGCCAACGCTTCGCACAAGGCTAGCAGTGGCTGAAGATAGGCTTGGCTTGGTTGCTATTTCGGCACTGTTTCGGTTTCGAAACCATTGGCCGTGGAGGCGAGCGTCACAAAACGTTGGCCTTGGCGCAATATACGCGAAAAACAGCCATTTGGCACAGCATGTAGCAGCATTTCTGTCTTGGCGCAATAGGCGCAGCACTTCCATCACTGCTGATGCTTTCAGATATTATACGAGAATTACTGGCGAGCTGCCAGTTCATAATAAGATCACATGTCATGTGACACTTGGAGGTAAAAAAAGAGCGTTCTACATTAGCCATAATAGCTACTGGCGGCACTGACTGATGCTCCAATGTTTAAACACATGTATTTACCTTATAATGTGGATGGAGGGATGACCGCAGCTGTAGCTCAGTGTAAGAGCATCGGAAACATTCGACAGTTGCTGGTTCGGTTCCTGCTGGGGCAAGTTATCTTTTCATCCTTTTTTTTTCTTTCTCCACATTTACGTTACAATTACGTCTAATAAACATCTCCCACACTTTCCTTGAATTCATTGTCTGTTGGTTCTCATTCGTATAAGGAAACAGTTATTCTTAAAACAGAGCATAGCAGAGATTAAAGTGTTGTTACATAGCAGCCGAGAAGAAAGACTGAATATTATGAAACGGGGAGTCAGAAATTTTTACATTGTGGTAAACATGTGCCAAGTAAATCAAGCTATACCCTATGCATAATGACAGCAACAGCACAGGAATCGCTGATAGAAATTCGATGTTTTACAGGTAAAAGCAATGTCTGCAATGATCCAAGAAAAAGCAGAGACTACATTTCATTTATTTTAGATACAGGATTTGTTTTTTTAATAGTTGTTCTTGCCTTGAAACTCTTCAGGTTGGCTGAAAGCGGGGGTTGGAGGAGGGGCAATTTCGTTTAAGTATAAGCTCATCCTAAAGGTACATCATTTGTGGGATACCATGCACATTAATTTGTTGTTTCCACTTTAAGCGAAGTGAACTGCAAAAGGTCAAGACTGTGAGACAGGACATAATTTTCCATCACAGTGCTGCATTCATTTCAGGTACCCCTATAGTGGCAGATATCATTTGCCTTAGTTATTTCTCTAAAGAGATTTGCTGGGCAAAATCATCTGGCCAGTGTACTTTGAGCTCCTTTCAGTAACATTCAAAGTGTTATATAGGCAGTAAAATACGTAAAATCTTATCTTCAGCTAAAGCTTGTAAACTTCATGCAAGTTTGTAACTAAGTTAGTAAACTGTATAATAAAGTTTCTAAACTGCATCACAGAAAAGTTGATGGAGCAATGCGCGGCACAAAATGAACAGGTTTATTCATTCGATGAGATTTGAAACTTTCACAATGAAAACATTCCGAGAAAGAAAGTTAAGTAGAACAGACAATTGGGTGAGCTGGTTAAGACTTGTTTTAAAAACCACGCAGGAACACAACAATGCCAAAAACCCAGCACCCAGCCAATGTAGAGCAAAGGAATGTTTGCCTTAGAAAAGTAGAAAGAGGCGACCTCAGCACCAAGAGTACAGTTGCAATGCATCTATTGCTGGCCGTTCGAAATCAGCCAAGCACGGGACGCACAAGCTACTTGCACAAAATGCGCCAGTACCATCATCGTACTCCTCTACTACTATTCAAGACCCTTTGTCCTTGCATTTCTGCACTTCCAAGATGATTCCTAGAAAGACTTTATTTCCTGCATTTTGGCAAGATTCTGAGTGAGACAAGTTTCACTTCGCCCACTCAATGTAAAGAAAAAAATTGGCAGATCCAACGTACAGTGGGAATCGCTGATATGCGAAGCACGAATGAGAAAGCTTGATATATAACTTTAAAATCAGCACAACAATACTAGGCGGAGGTAAATCATGCCGTATGCGATTTTTATGTCATGATTACCACGGACGTGTCATTTACCTTCGTCATCTATTCAGGTCACCTGATATCGAATTTGGTATATGTGGAGCTAGCGAAACGGCCGCTAGCACGCTATGAGCGTAGCATGTAGTAATGTTTTACACGGCACGAATATGATGATTATCATGTTTGGACGTGTCACATACTTTCGTCGTCCATTCACGTCCCGTAATACCAAACTTGGTATATGTGAAGCTAGCGAAACGGCGGCGAGCGCACGTAACGCTGACGCGCGCCCACGCTGGGCGCAGCAACGCCACGCTAGCAAAACGCGCGCACTCTAATGTCGGACACTAGGCACGACCAGCGTCTGTCGGCGGGGCCCGGCGGCAACCAGCTCGAAATGGGACATCCTGCATTTCTCGCCGATGACGTTACCTAGACAGCACCGCGTCCGCTTAGCTTCATGGCGGAAGGACGCCGGGAGCACTCGAAACGCGCATGCGTCAAAGCAACGCACCGCGGCGTGCACCTGCTAGTATATAGCCGGGCAGATCGCCGCCTAGCGTGGCCAAACTGGTACGTAGGTGTTCTGTGGCGTGGCATCGCCAGCGTGACGCGACGAATCTAATGCCAGCACGCACGCGTGCCAGATCACATCGAAATATTTTGGCGCCTTGAATGTGGCACGTAGTCATGTTCTTGCATGACACCCATCTCATGATTAACATGTTTGCACCAGTCACATACCTTTACCATCCATTCACGTGACGTAATACCAAATTTGGCATATGTGAAGCTAGCGAAACGGCCGCGAGCACATCATCAGTGTGGCATGTAGTCTTGCTAATAATCATGACAGCATGTCATGATTATCATGCTTGGACGTGCCATTTACATATGCCATCCGTTCGCGTCACGTAATGCCGAATTTGGTACATGTGAAGCTAGCAAAACGGCCGCGAGTGCATCATGACTGTGGCAGGTAGTCATGTTGTTACATAACACGCATCTCATGATTATCATGTTTGCAACAGTCACATACCTTCGTCATCTATTCACGTCCCGTATTACCAAATTTGGTGCATGTGAAGCTAGCGAAACGACCGCGAGCACATCACGAGTGTATCTAAAGTGATGTTACATGACACGCGTTTCATGATTGCAATGCGTGCACCAGTCACATACTTTCGTCATCCATTCACGTCGTGTAATACCAAATTTGGTGTATGTGAAGCTAACGAAACGACCGCATCATGAGTTTGGCATGCAGTCATGTTACATGACACACGTCTCATGATTATCATGTTTGAACTATTCGCATAACTTCGTCATCTATTCACGTCCCGTAATACCAAATTTGGTGTATGTGAAACTAGCGAAACGGCTGCGAGTGCATCATGAGTGTGGCATGTAGTCATGTCACATGACACGCATCTCATGCCTATCTTGTTTCCAGTTACATACCTTCGTCATCCATTCATGTCCCGTAACACCAAATTTGGTATATGTGAAGCAAGCGAAACGACTGCGAGCATACCATGAGCCTGGCCTGTAGTCATGAATCATGACTTACATAACATTCATGTCATGATTTCCACGTTAGGGTCTGTCAATTGTGTTTGCAAAGCAGTCACGTGATACCATGCCAATTTTGCAACATGTCGTGTGAACGACACCACCGCAAGAGCAGCAAGACCTTGAAATATAGATCATGAAATTCATGACATACATGTCATGATAGTCATGTTATGACTAGTCAGTTATGCTCGTCATACAGTCATGTTATGCCATACAAAACTTGGTGTTGATACCACTAACGAAACGGCCAGGAGAGATAAAAGTCGTAGGTAGGTAGGTAGGTAGGTGGACAAACAGACAGACAGATAGATAGATACGGTCAAAGACGACGAAGCACGCTAGGAAATGCTTCGCATTTAAAACTATCAATGAGTAGCACCACACCTGAAGTCTGCTGCGTCCATTAGGTGTCGAGAGGAAGGAGGCCTCCGACTGTGACTGGCTGCTAGCCGACTTGGACTGGTTCTCAAGGCGGCGGAACTGGCTATCCTTGGTCGCGAGTTCCTGTTGCAGCTTGTCACACTTGCTCCGAAGCTCGGCCAGCTCATTCTCCAAGCTGCGCATGTCACGCATGCTGGCTCCTTTTGCCTCGTCATTCTGTGAAATTCATCAGACACCAAAGACTGTGGGGAAAGGCACTCATCCGGAACGACACGCTCGGAGTCCAGCCACGATCAGGGATACGCCATTTGAATTCAAGTAAATACACAAACAATCATATTAGTTTCATGTCGCAAAACCACGATATGATTATGAGGGTCGAAGATGTGAAGGATACCGAAAGTTTGGACCATCCCGTGTTTTATAACGTGCACATAAATTCAAGTACATGGACGTCAAGCATTTTGTCTTTATCAAAATACAGCAGCTGAGGCCCACATTCGATACCGTGACCTTCAGGTCAAAATTCAAGCACGATAAGAACTAGACCACCACGGAAAGCAGTGGACACCCTATAACACATAGTAATCACATCAGGCACACAACCACAGGAATGGATTAAGTGGCAGAAACGGACCCTCGTGCAGTAAGGGTATATGTTGGCCACTTTTTGTGAAAACTGTGGCCCACTGCATCGCATTAACAGCTTCAAAATGTTCCTGGCTATGGTTCCTGTGTAAAGCTTTGCAACAGCAGTAAAATATGAACATTGAAATGTGTGTCTCACTGGAAATAATCCACTTAGCACTGCTGAGCTTTTTTTTTTTTTTTCAAGCATGAAAGGAATACAGAATCCAGTGGCTGATATTCATCCCCTTCCTCAACATAGGACCTAGTCTTTCATGGTAAGAGAGGGAACATTTGCTGCAAGGTGCGCACAATGACGGTTTAGAAAACAAACACGTTATATGCCAAACGAAAGGATACCTTGAGTTTTTCCTTGGATAACTGCTGTTGAAGGTAGTCAATCTGTGTCTGCTTCTGTTGGCACTCCTTTTGCAACCTGTCCGACTGCTGTTCAACGGCCTCTATCTTGCGAAGCGCGACAGGCGGAAGCCCGTCCTTCCAGGCATCTGCCCAGCTCATGGCTGACGCAGGTCTGCGCAAGAAAAATGTTAAAACTTGATTCTGTGTTTTTTTGTACCAAAACTGAAACAAGATAATGTTGGCACATAGCTAGTGCCTACATGAAAAGCACTATTCTATGTAGTGGCCAGTGATTTTTTTTTGCAATAAAAAGCTTTTTTATCACCGTCATGCTTGAATATGTATAAGTATGTATATATACATAAAAGGCACAAAAGAAAAAAATAATCCGAAGAAAAAATTCTTTGGCACCCACCGGAGAATCAGCGACCCTCTCGCTCCTCAGTGCACTGTATAACCAAATAGGCCGCGCCATTAATAATGTTCCTCACACCAATGACAAGCTATGTATATACAACATTTGCCTCTGGCTTAATGTGAATGGACTTGAAATAAACATTCTTGAACAAAGCATGTACTTTCTTTGGACAAGCCGTACATGCTTTGTTTAGACAAGCTTGTTTGGACAAGACTAAATAGTGATGTGTCCGATGGCTTGTTCAATGGAGGGGTGGTTTCAGTGAAGCACATACAGTTAAATAAAAGGGGCATTCCAAAATGTCCCTGGCTCCACTTTCACTTTGAAGCAACAGGAAAAATTCCTCGCATCAAGTCTAGGACTATTCGAGAAGTTGCTGGTCCTGTCGTGCCTGTGAATTCGGTTCCCATTGAAATGCACATCACCACTATTGTAAAGGGGGTTTATTGAAGGACTGAGCAAGCGGGTGGTAGACCTAAAGGAACGCAGGCGGACCCAGATTACGGTGCTTGATCGCCGATCTCGTGCCTTTTTGTTGTGCTGATGATAGCTGACCTGATGGTATCAACGTCTTTCTTATTCACTACAATTACCCCCGGCGAAAAAGTTGAAGCCATCCTGGCGATCTAACACGTGGGGACAAGCTGGTAAAAGTACGGCTTCAGACGGTTTACGTGAACGATATCACGTCCACGCTGACGATGGTCGCTCGGTGGCGTGAGGGGTTCAACGGCGTAGTTCACGGGTGAAGTACGCTCGACCACGCGGTAGGGACCATGATAATTAGAGAGTAGCTTGGGTGATACACCAGGGGCGCAGGACGGTACATGAAGCCATACAAGTGCTCCAGGAATGAACGTTGGTGCAGAACGATGGTCGTCGTCACGGATCTCCTTCTGGCGCTGTTGGTCGGATGTAGTAAGCCGCTTGGCTAGCTTGCGGCACTCTTCTGCGTAACGAGCGGCTTCCGAGACAGGCTTGTATTTGGAGGGATCTGGCGAGTATGGCAGTAAAGTGTCGATGGTGTGCGATGGTTTGCGACCGTACAGGAGAAAAAATGGGGAAAACCCGGTAGTGACTTGCGCAGCGGTGTTATACGCGTATGTCACAAATGGGAGAACGAGGTCCCAGTTTGTTTGATCAGAAGCGACATGCGTAGCGAGCATGTCCCCCAGAGCACGATTAAACCGCTCAGTCAAGCCGTTCGTCTGTGGGTGGTAGGCTGTACTCTTCTGGTGAACCATATGGCACTGTTGAAGAAGTGCTTGTATTACATCGGAGAGGAAAACACGCCCTCAGTCACTGAGGAGTTCTCGAGGAGGACCATGACGAAGCACAAAACGATTGAGTATGAAAGTTGCGACGTCTTGTGCTGCAGCTGTGGGGAGAGCAGCAGTTTCAGCGTACCGTGTTAGATGATCCACTGCCACGATAGCCCATCGGTTGCCTGCCGTTGTTAATGGTAGTGGTCCGTAGAGGTCAATTCCTACACGGTCGAATGGGCGGTCTGGGCATAGAAGTGGCTGCAATGAACCTGTTGCAGGATGTGGCGGGCTTTTCCGCCGCTGACATTCGTGGCAGCCGCGAATGAACTGGCGGACGAAGGTAAACATTCCGCGCCAGTAATACCTTTTTCGTAGGCTCTCGTAGGTCTTGAAAACACCGGCGTGAGCACATTGCGGGTCGGAATGAAATGACGCGCAGATAGAAGAGCGCAGCGTTCGGGGAATGACTAGTAGCCATTTCCTACCATCTGCTGAATAGTTTCGCCGGTACAAAAGGCCATCCCGAATACTGAAGTGCGGAGCCTGGCGGCGCAGGGTCCGAGTGGTTGAAAGTGTCGGTGCCTCGGATAACGCGTCAAGAAGCGAAGCGATCCATGGGTCATTGCGTTGTGCAGAAGAGATGGTGTCCTCATCAAGCGCTGACAACGTGTTGTCCGAGGAAACAGATGCGATGTCCGGGGATAGGGGAGATCATGACAGTGCATCAGCATCGGCATGCTTGTGGCCGGAACGATATACCACGCGAATGTCATATTCTTGAAGCCGAAGAGCCCAACGGGCAAGACGACTCGATGGGTCCTTAAGCGAAGATAACCAGCATAATGCGTGGTGGTCCGTTACTACATCAAAAGCACGGCCATAAAGGTATGGGCGGAACTTGACAAGTGCCCAAACGATCGCCAAGCATTCTTTCTCGGTGACGCTGTAGTTTGATTCAGCCTTGGTAAGAGTTCTGCTGGCGTAGGCGACGACATACTCGGCGAATCCAGGCTTGCGTTGCGCGAGAACCGCACCGAGGCCGACACCACTGGCGTTGGTGTGGACCTCAGTTGCTGCCGTAGGATCGTAGTGACGCAGTATTGGTGGCGAAGTGAGGAGACGACGAAGGATACAGAAGGCTTGGTCACACTCAGAAGACCATGACGAAATATCAGTGGTGCTGCCTATAAGTTCGGTCAAAGGCGCAATGATAGAGGCGAAGTTGCGCATGAACCGGCGAAAGTAGGAGCATAACCCCACGAAGCTCCGTAACTGCTTCATAGTCGTTGGTTTGGGGAAGTCGGCGACAGCACGTAACTTAGCCGGGTCTGGAAGTATACCGTCCTTTGATACGACGTGCCCGAGAATCGTGAGTTGCCGAGCAGCGAAGTGACACTTCTTGAGGTTGAGTTGGAGCTGAGCATTCTTCAGGCACGTGAGGACGTGTTTGAGGCGCTCGAGATGTGTTCCAAAGTCTGGCGCAAAGACGACTATATCGTCGAAATAGCAGAGGCATATTTGCCATTTCAAACCCCGAAGAACCGAGTCCATGATGCGCTCGAAGGTGGCAGGCGCATTGCAGAGGCCGAAGGCATGACATTAAACTCATACAGACCGTCCGGTGTCACGAAGGCTGTTTTTGGTCGATCGACATCTGCAAGGGGGACCTGCCAGTACCCTGAGCGCAAATCTAATGATGAAAAAAACTCGGCACCTTGTAACGTATCAAGGGCATCGTCAATCCTGGGTAAAGGATACACGTCTCTTCGAGTGATCTTATTTAGACGCCGGTAATCCACGCAGAAGCGAACGGAACCATACTTTTTTTTAACGAGCACTACAGGTGAGGCCCATGGACTTTGTGAAGGTTGAATGACGCCGCGTTGCAGCATATCGTTCACCTGTTCGGTAATAACTTGGCGTTCCGCCGCAGAAACACGATATGGTCGCTGTCGTAGTGGCGCATGGGAGCCGGTATCGATGTAATGTAGAGTGGTAGAAGTGCGGCCAAGTGAAGGTTGAACAACATCGAAAGATTCGCGGTACTGGTACAGCAGTTGGAGGAGTTCAGATCGTTCAGATGGTGACAGTCCGTCTGCGATCGCCGAATCGAACACTTTCGAAGCCTGTAGATCAGAGTGGTTAAGAGCACTGACGGCGGCGAGGTCACTTTGGGATGATTCTTGCGGCACGGTAAAAATGTGTCCGTTATCAATGGGCTATACGCATCCAAGAGACTCGCGTTTAAACAGTTTGATGGTATGCGGAAAGGGATTGGTAAGGCAGAGAGCACTGGCTCCATTAGAAATTGAGAGGGCTGAATAAGGGAGCAGAAGTGGTTTCCGACTTAGAAAGAGGCTTGATGGCTCGAAAAATGCTACTTCATCACGCATGCCGTCAGAGACCACAGGGAGCAAAACAGCTGTTGTCGGTGGAATGTCAGTGTCAGGGTACTGGCATAGCCTCTGCAATCTGGTCCTGAAGTGCATGTCGGAGCATGGGAGCTAACGGTGTCGGTGGTTGCTCTTGCTGCTGCTGCGGGAGCTCTTGGCGCTGACAAAACGGCAGGAGGGAAATCTGACGTGCGACCTCCTCACGCACAAAGTCTTTCATTTGTGCTAGAAGGCGGGAGTGGTCAGGTACGACGTCCAGCGCAGCGAGTGGTTGGTTAGGCTGAAATGGACGACGGGTGAGATCTCGTTGCCGTCGCAATTCGTCGCAGTTCTGGCACAGAGTTACCACTTCAGACACCGTGCCAGGAGCATTTGAAAGACGTCGTCATCAACACCTTTCATAATGTGCTGGATCTTGGCACTTTCGCTCATTGCGGCATCGACGCGCTTGCAGAGATCGAGTATATCTTCGATATAGGCGGTAAACGTTTCGCCAGGTTCTTGTGCCCGTGAGCGCAGGCGTTGTTCGACGCGCAACTTCCGCACGGCAGGGCGACCGAAAACCGAGAATATTGCCTGCTTGAAAGTGGCCCAGTTCTCGAACTCGGATTCATGGTTTGTGTACCACAGTTTCGCCACATTAGCCAAGTAAAAGTTGATGGTGCTCAACTTAGCAGCGTCATCCCACCTGTTTGGTCCACTGACTTTTTCGTAGGACGACAGCCAGTCCTCGACGTCCTGGTCTTTGGCGCCCGAAAAGATTGGGGGGTCTCGCTGGTGAACCGGGCCGGGGCAAGTAGCAGCCGCGAGAGGTGCTGTCTGTTGAGCAGTGTCAACTTGCATGGTCGATGGCAGGGTGCGGGATTGGAGTTCCAGGGTGTAGGTGATGTAGTTACCCAGCACCTCCACCAAATGTAAAGGGGGTTTATTGAAGGACTGAGCAAGCGGGTGGTAGCTCTAAAGGAACGCAGGCGGACCCAGATGACGGTGCTTGATCGCCGATCTCGTGCCTTTTTCTTGTGCTGATGATAGCTGACCTGATGGTATCAACGTCTTTCTTATTCACTACACTATCATCACTCTAGACGGACATACTCAACCCGCTGCCCCAGATAAGTTGTGGTGACAATTACGCCGTTAAAACACTGCATCGCTTCATCATCACAACAGTGTACATCTCACCAGGAACTTCGCGGACTACCGTCATCAACATCTTGCAGCATTACTTACGTGTGGTGTGCTTACAGGATGTGCCGGTGATAGTCACTGGATGACTTCAACATTAATGTACTTTGACGTGAAAACCAGTGGCTTGTCACATTTCCGGACGCCGAAATTGGACTGTCTATTCAAGCACAACTGACCATGTTCACTACATTTCCGATGGTTCCCAAATCTAGCCTTACTTCATGTAACAGTCCAATGTGCTTTTTTTTTTACTTTGAAAAACTGCCCTTTGGAATGCAAACATACATAAGAACAGCAGAGACTCATCACACATAAACAAGTTACACTCGTGCATGAAGTTTAACAAGGATCGGTGCAATGTTGCTTTCATCAACCCATGTAAATAGAAGAGACCAACGAGTCAATGTGCTTCGAGAGTTCACCTGTGTTGCAAGACCTCGCCTATGAGAGTGCATAAATGTCATTATAGTGAAGGAGCTCCTATCTACTCTTTCTATGACTTGTGTCTTCATGAACAAAAGAAAATAATAATTACAGGGCATCTTCTCGTGGGGGACTCCATATTGATTCTTTTTGACCCCTCTACATGCATTACTGCACACTTAGATCTAAGTATATGGGTACTCTTGCATTTACATCCCGTTTAAATGCGAGCACTACAATCGGGAATCGAACCCGCAGCCTTAATACTAGCAGGAAAACTTGAGCTGCTAAGTCAGAAAGAAATACACAAGTCCTAATAAAAGTTTATCCAAAAAAAAAAGTTTATCCAAAAAAAATAAAAGTTTATCCAAAAAAATAAAAGTTTATCCAATCCAAGGAGCACAGTGCACCAATAATCATTTTTCACCTGAAAAGGGTTATTTACAATGTAGGGTAACAAATGTAGTTAATTTGATCGTTTATTCCCAATACCCTATGACATGGTGTACAAGGGTGTGATAAACAAAGGAGAGGGAAATAAAAGTCTTAACAAACCGCAACTTACAAATAGACGTCACACTCTCAAGTTTTGTGGACACGCAGCGCCACCTGTCGATGCAGTTTTGGGTAGTGCAAAGCCACACTCCCTTGCACAGTTTGCTGCGCAACCAGGTGCAAGGTGCAACTACAGCGGACGAAACAATGATCGAGTTGAATATTAGGCATCTTTGCTCATTGAACATTTAGAAAAAGAGCTACGAATTTCTCTCTGCTAGTCGGACGCGTGAACATACCGCCGTGAAGTGCTTGCTGATTAACTCACCAGAACGACGGCAAAAACAAGAGCAGACACAACAGCCCCGCGCTCAACGAAAAAAAGACCCCAGTCGACGCTACTGTTGCATTTTAAAATGCTACAGATGTAAACGATTTCAGTTTTAGTGATTTCCACAGCTTCTGCGAAGCAAGACGGCGATAGCGCTGTATACGGGCAGTTGCGAACCTGCTAGATGAACGAATTACTCGCATTCTCCACAGCCGTTCGCATGAGAAAGTGTGACCATGTATAGGTCTCCTGTTATTGTTTAGGGTACCTTTGACAGAAAACCAGGCTAACTTTGATTATGAAGCTTAACAGAGCCTCTGACCGCGGTGCATGCCGTGCAGCTGTAGATAGGTGATGCGTGAATAAGCATTGCACACCCCGCAACCATCGATAATCTGAAGTTGCACAGCATTGCTTGCACCTGAGTGCTTTGAAGGCGCCAAGTTCCGGCTCTAACTAAGCAATGTCAGCACATACGCCATACCAGCAAATCGCAAAATGATCGTGACCACATTTTTTTTTTTTTTTTTTTCGTGCTTGTCTCTGAGATTGCTGGAGCTGTGTTTTGCCTTTTGTTATACACCGAGAAAGTGGACACGCATATATCCCCATTTGCAGTACATACAAACGGATGACAACTGTCAACAGAACACTCTAGCATGCATAATAAAACAGTTCAATGCACAGAAAGCGAGATATCAATGGATAATGCAACTGCAAAGGCGAAAATCACCAGGGCTATTCATGCCAGATAAAGCGAGCTTCGTACCATTGATCGTAAAATAGATTGCTCGTGTATGCACTTCATCGCTTTGACATTATGTGTGGCCGAGTTTAAAGCATTTAGGCATTACAGAGCGAACGCCGGGGTGCTTGCCTCAAACTCGATGTCATGCCATGCTCACTTGCACTTAACATGCCAGTTGCAGTACCCCAAAATAACTGAAACATCATCTGCATTGTACCCGCGGTATGTTTTGATGAGCTTCCTACTTTTCTGAAGCGAAGTTGGATTGAAGAAAGAAGCTTGCCAGGCCCTTGATTTTCAGAAAACCACAGCTCAAGACCAACGAAAGAGGTGGGCCTATGCACGTTTGCTTGCGGACGGCTCGCTTTGCACTACCCATTTATAGCCGGCGCGTAGATGGGAGCGCTGGTGGCGGCGTTTTTCGCAGCGCCGCCTGGGCAGAGTCTGACGCTTATGCACCTAAAGGGGATAAGGGGAATCCCAAACATAACTCCGGAATAAATTTAGAAGTGTGGCAGCTTGGGCTAGTTGGTATGGCATGAAGATATTTATAGCGCGAGAACAAAACGACGACACAGAGACAAGTGTCTTTCGTGTCCTTCTCGTCTCTGTGTCGTTTTGTTCTCGCGCTATAAATATCGTCATATCGTCGGGAATAAAATTGAATTTCGATGGAGTGATCTGCCATCTTTAGACGTCATCTTCTTGAATACGTTCCAAGCAATTCAAAGAGTACAACAGACGAAATAGGCAGAATGAACTTTCGGCTGAGCCCAGTAAAGTTTCCAACAGTAACGGCCACGGGTGGATCAGAACGAAGTAGTCGTCAACGCAGCTAAGTTGCTTGTATCTTGTACCAGCGTTCTGTACGCGATGTACTCAATGCAAACTGTAACATCTGCCACCGTAAAGTGAAAAGTAAAGTCATACACAGTCAGTTTAGAGAAAAGACTAGGCTTATTCGCGGTAGCCAGGCGTTAACTGGCGCTGGCTTTCGAGAACTCGAGCACCTGAACGCGCTGCGACAACACCGAAACTTTAATTACTAATCAGAGAAATTAAACTCCAAACACAAAAGAAAAAGCCAAGACTGTAGTTTAGCTCGAAGAGGTTGCATTCGAAGATGTTCTCGCGTGCAATGCTATCACAGTCGGATACTCACCAGTTAGGTAGGCATAAAGGTAAACGTCAGTTGTCGCTCAACTCGAAATTCTCTCTCACCGGTGCACTCAACAGAATTACGCGACTCAGCCAGGTGCACTACGAAAGCATATGCACGACGCTACAAAGAGCGAAGGCGCAGACCGAGAAAACTATACCAGCTATACGCTACTAACCCAGCACAACGAGCCAACGGATAACCGACCGTTACGGCGGTTACGTTTTTGAATGCTCCGGCGCGGCGACAGAACACCTACCAGGCGCGGCATTACAAAATGCAGCTCTGCGATTGGTCAACCGTCCAAAAGCCTTTCCTTCCTCCGTGCTCGCCGCCAAATGTTTGTGGCGCTAGTGCATGCGTGAGTACTCATGATGATGGATGGTAGCGCAGACAACGAACACGGACAAGAGAAGGCACATAGACACAGTGTTGTGTCTATGTGCCTTCTCTTGTCCGTGTTCGTTGTCTGCGCTACCATCCATCATCATGCAACCATACCAACAAGCCCAAATCGCCACCCTCAGTGAGTACTCACTTTCGGTTTCGCTGTCAGCCAAACATGCTGGTAATTACGTGTTTGTTTTTTTTTTTTTTTCAACTTTTGAAATTGGCGATTTGTTTTTGAACTCAAAGACCACCAGATAGCGAGTAATTTGACAGTGCCCGAATCGAAACAGCATGCCGTAATTTTACACAAATTCTTACGGCCAAATGCTGAAAATCTCCATAGCAGGACAACTTCCCTACACTGTCATTATGATAGCTGCGACTGATCTAAAAGTTTGTTGGCTGTTTAATTTTGAGAATATTGGGATTGAATGTATCCTGCTACAAAGTCAGGAATTAAAATAATGCCTTCAATGAGCCATGCCAACAAAAACTCATGAAAGCCAATGCCCAAATAGGTTTTTTACTCTAAATGAACTGTTCAAGGTTGTGGTAAAGAATAGCAGGCGTTTTTGCCAGCACTACACACTTGAATACCACAATGCTACTTTATACTAGACACTAGCTTTACAAGTTTTGAGAACATTCACCACACAAGGCAAGCTAATGCCTCCAACCATCTTTCAATTTTTTAGACATGAATCCCAACCTTGATAGAGGCCAGAGTTCTTTGAAAGGCACAATGTAGTTCAATGTGCACCTAAGTCTAACGAGTTTACTAGCACCCGAAGACTCCAGCGTTTCCACACCTGTCGCAATACAAACTTGGAAGCCAGACGCACTATCCAATATGCTTCTGCACAGTTGTGGCTGTGCAGATTTCTGTGCAGCACCTGGCGACCCACTACGACAACCACAATGAAAGTGTTGCACAGGTTTTGTGGAGTCAGTCCCACAGCCAACAAAAAGAAAAACCAGGACACTTGCATTCCACAAAACTGCTATGTAGTAGTAAGCTGCGATGAGAAATTGCCAGTCTGTAGATTTCAACTTTCCAGAAGGTCGTTTCAGGGCACTGCAAGCAACCACGTTTGTATCGACGACAGTGGCAATTCACAACTTCAGCAGACACAAGCATCCATCTTGAAACATGAACAATGCACCAATACCAGTCAATTTACTCTTTGGCGAGTTTTATTAGCATAACTTAAAAAGCACTTTCAAAAGAAAAAGAAAAGGAAGTGCGACCCCTGAAATTAGTTTTTTTTTTCCCACGCAGCCATACAACATACACACCTGGACACATGTGTCAAAAAAGCAAAGAATGCACCTCTGGGGGAATAAAAATGCACACTGGGCCCTCATCCACACACAGTTCATGTCACGTGGGTGCACAGAGGCCCCAAGAGGTGCACATTGCATGTGAACTACGAAAAAAAGAAAAACGTTGCAAAACTACAGAGGTGCCAACTAGGCTCGAGTGTCCTGTCCACAGCTGCTAACTAATAAAGCCAGGTTGTAACTTGCCTGGAAATGCCCCCCTCCCAGCCCCCATTACTCCCCCACAAAAACACTTCGCACAAAAATACAAGACTTCAACAAAGCTTCGGCCAGGTGCCAACACACCGCTTCTGCAACGAGTTACCAGCAAGCCATTTCACAAGAAAGGGCAAACTTGTGGTAAAAGGTTTCACCATAGAAGCCATAATGTAGAGGTTTTAGGAATAATGTAGCATGCTGTAATAGAACGAATATGGCAACACAGTCAAGCTGGCAGCTTGTTACCATGTGCCAGGTAACCAATTGCAGTTTTTCTTGATAAGGACCACAGGAGACAAGCAAGCCACAATTTTGTTAATCAAATGTGGCACTGCATACTCATGTCAAGAAAATGTCTAGGAAAACCAACCAGTAGCAGGTTAATAAACCTAGTTTAGAGAAAAAATTTAGGGAGTATTTGCAATGCATCACTTATGAAACTAATACCTGAAACAAGAATTGGAGTCATCGTATGTTTATTTCTGAAGTCTTCACAACAGACAAAGCGCTTACGTCGCACAAGGAACTAGCTCAAAGGTGAAACGCAGTAAGCAGCTTCTTGCTTGTGCAAGCCAGCAATGCAACCCAGCTCATAAGCGGGCACCTTATATTATGCCTAAAACCAGTACTTATAAACCTGCTCCAATCATGTGACTGAAAACAATATCATGGATATGAACACACACACCTGCACACACAAATGTCCATAAATCTTCAAGCAAACAAGAACGAGGGCATCATTCTTGGGTGATCACTTTCATGCGTACAATTCCTTTTATTAGATTCCGCATGACTCTGCATCAAGAGCCCCAACAGCATTCTCAACGCTCAGCACAAGGCCAGGAATACTGCCGGATCCCAATATATTCCGCGCAGCCTCTCAAGAAACCTTGCAGAAATGTTCACATCCAAAAAAGTGATCACTGAAGAACAGCTCCCCCAAATCCCTCTTGAAGACCCAACACAGGCATATTACATAAGCTGCAGTGTGGCAGATTGTACATTTAATTAAATGAAGCCATTGAATTTTTTGCAAAGAGTGCTTTACAAATTTTTTAGATGCAGGAGAAATAAAAAAAGGACGCATGCCCCTCTGCAAACGCGGTCACAGCCACGCCTGAAAAATGTCCATCCTTGAGGTGTTTAAAGTGTAATTTGCCTGAATGTTGATGATAACCAATTTGTCACCGACAGAGCCGTGAAACCTACGAATAAAAAAAATTCTGCTGCTGTTGCACAGGCCACACAACGCATTCTTGCGCACGCAACCCCCGAGTTTCACTCGAAGCCTAACCAATGCCAGGTTATACGGGTAAATGGGACACAGCAGTGCTACAGTAAACTGTGGCTTGCATCACCGCCAACCAAGTTCCGTATGTTGTAGCTATGTTTGTGGGTAAACGAAGAGAGAGAACGAAGGGGTGGGAAGTGGAAACAATTGACGAGTTCATGTACAGGCCGGTCGACGAGCGGGTGGGGTCAAACAGGACGAGCGAGCTAAGAGAAAGCAGCCCAAGTCTTTTCTAAACAAAAGGTTCCAGATATGCAGCAGCACTCGCAGCTTTACAGAGAGAAACGCGCAATTCAGAGTCACCTGCTCCTTGCCCCGCCACTCCAACCCCCCTCTTAGAAAACCCCGCAGCGCACACGCTACTAGAGGAGTTGATATGACCCCTGCCGCCGCCGCCATCAACCGCACTTCGTCCCCATAATGCAGCAAGTCCTCCTCTGTTGGAACACACCACAACACACAGACGAGCAGGGGCGGGCTTCTCAGGACGACGAAGAGGACGAGGATGATGACGACGGGGGCCGACGCTGGTTTGAGGACGAGGGATGGGGACGCGAAGAGACGACGGTCTCGTCTCGGGGGTCGGAGGCAACGCTGTTGTTCCCGGCACCACCACTGGGTGGCGTCTGCGTGGTGAGCCACGGGTGTCGTAGGCAGTCTGAGGCCTTGGCCCGCGAGGCTGGGTCGTATGCCAGCATGGGCAGCAGGAAATCAGCAAACGCCTGTGCATCCGCAGGGGTCCAGTCGTACTTCTCTGTCAGCACCTCGTACAGGCCCCAGGGCTTCAGGTTGCTGATGTGCCTCAGTTCCCCTGCAGAACAGTGACAAAGATACAGGAGGAGTAAGTCACACACTTGGCACTGAACTGCAAATTGGAAAGGAAAACTCACACCCCCCATTTGTATCACGAAGTTGCAACGAAATCCACACAGATTTCACAGAAAAAAACTTTCTAGTTGCAGCTTTCTTATCCTTTATGCCACCTTGGGAGATTCTGAAGACTTTCAATGCTATCTGGCCATGTGCTTTGTGTTTTTGATTCAATCACCTTCACACTGCCAATCGCTCGCTACCTTTCTAGTTAGCTCAATTAGTAGAGCAACCCAGCCTGTGGAAAGACGTTGGTCTCAAGATCTATCCCAGACCAGGAAAAATTTGTCGGCAACCAAGAAGCTTTCTGAAAAATCCATATACCGTATTTACTCGATTCTACCGCGCCCTCGATTGTAACGCGCACCCGATTTCCACCGCGGAAAAAAACAACAACGTAAGACATCGATTGCAATGCGCACCCATTTTTCTCGGCCCGCACGATCACACCACTCGAAAGAGCGACTCCTTTCGGGAGCCTCTTCCATTTAAATATGAGGTACGGGCAAAGCTTGTGGCCATCTGACGTGTAACAGAGCATTGCCGCCACTGTAGTTTTACCGTGGACCGATGTGAGCATGCGAACTTGCTTCGCCCCCTTCTTCTCGCAGTTGTGGTGCCAGGCATGTCAAAGTAGAGGCGTCTGATCGGCATTCCCGATTTGCCCAAGCAGGTAGCCGTTGTTCCACCGCAAGTTTAGGACGAACCTCTGAAAACTGTGAAGCTTTTCATCGTACTCCTCCGCAAAACTTTTCGCATATGCATGTTCCCCTTCAGAGGGAAAAGCCTTTCCTCTTCATAAAGTTAGTTAGCCAACACCTGCTCGCTTTAAACTAACTCCGCATTAGACCTTTTTCTAAGACTAATTGCATAGCCGGCACTTACACACACTCACAGAGGACCCAGACGAGCGCTTACTAGCAAGAGAAAATTTTATTTCGAAGCGAACACTAATATATGCATAACACGCTTGTACGTCATTCCGAACCTCCCCCTGTCATCAACGTGATATACAGTGAAACATTGTTAAACCGTAATTGGCCGGAGCTCAGAAAAAGTACGTACTAAATGATAATACTGCTTAACCGAAATAGCGTCAGGTCGCCCACTTCCCTGTCAAAAAAAGAAACCTTCAGAGAGTGTGTTGAAGGAACAAAAAAACGTGCAGTAATTTATTAACATCGCGTGACAATGTCTATAATCATTTGACAATGTGGTGGCCTAGCAGCAACAGCGGCCTCGAACTCACTTATGCTGCGAGCCAGCTTTTCTTTCCGCCAGCCCCCTCTTCGCAGCAAATACCCGCATGACGCTGACGCAATGTGCAGCTTCGGCCACTGTCGGACCTAGATCACCTGTATTTTCGCTTTCCATATCGTCCTCATCACTATCATTTTACAACACTTCGACAACCGAGGCAACAGAGGCTTTGTCGGACATGTCCGGAGATGTCTGCACAACGCTGTCTGCGTCTCTGAAGTCGGGGAAGGAAATGCCTTCCGTAACGCCCTGCCGCTCCAGCACTTCAGCTAGCAAAGTTTCAAAAGCTTCGTCTACAAAGTCCGAAGTCTGGTCGATGGTGTCACTAGCATCATCTGCGTCGCCCGCACACACACTGAAGCCAGCATGCTTGAAGCAATTTTGCACTGTCGTGGCTTCAACCTGCCGCCAAGAGCATTCGAGCAGGTGAACCATGCCAATCAGGTCGATAGAGAATAATTTGCCACATTCAATGGCGAGAAGAAATCTGCGCAGCAGATTCTTCTTGTAGAGCTGTTTCACAGCTCGAATGATGCCATGGTCCAAGGGCTGGGTAATCCCTGTTGTATTTGGTGGCAGAAACGGCAACTTCACAGCAGTCAGGTTGTCCCGGGCTACGTGCACTGAAGCATTGTCTAAAATAATAACTCTTCTGTTCTTAGCCACAAAACAACGATTGATGAGGCGCACGCACTCCTCAAGAGTTTTGCCATCATCCATGCTTTGGTATTGCTGTGATAGTTGACCCCTGAAGGCAATCGGACGCTTTGAAACATCTAGGCTTCGCCAACTTTCCAATCACGAGCAGCGGAGTTTTGCCGGTTTCAGTCATGTTTGCGAAAACCACCACTATTATTCTGTCTTCTGCATGCTTGCCGCAGGTGCACGTACTGCCTTTAAGCACGAGCGTTTTGCCTGGTAGCAGCTTAAAGTTAATAGCGCCGATTCATCCATAATAAAGATGTCATCAGGTTCGTAGTCTTCCAAGATGTTCTTCAGCTGACCATTTTGCCACTGCTGCGCGCCATTCACGTCAGCAGCAGCACCTTCTCCCGAAACAGTCACCGTGGTAATGCGGTGCCTCTCCTTAAATTTGGCGAGCCAACCATTGCTGCACACGAAGTTGTCATGGTTGAGCTGCGAGGCAAAAACCAGGGCCTTCTCTACGAGTCCCCGAGCAGGGGTCCGCTGATAGGCAAATTTTTCAACCGTGCAGCTTTTAGCCACTTCACCAGCGCCTCCTCTACGTCGGAAAACGCCGAACCGCGTAGCCGGCACCTTTTCGCAGTTGCCGCAACACTGCCGAGCAACTTCTCTCTGGAATTCCAAATTCCACACACCATGGTTAACGGCAGGTCCTTTTCACGTGCCAGCGCTGATTTTTTCGTGCCACTTTCAATAGCACGAATTATGACCAATTTCTCCTTTATTTTGAGCACTCGATGCTTTTGTCCCAGCTTTGGCATGACGCAAGTACAAAGCAGAGCAAGCACACATACACAACATGTGAAAAACGACGCGAGAGCTGTACGGCACGGAACAACCTAGCCGGCAGAGTGCTTCTTGTTGCAGAAAAACCCAACAGATGGCGCTCACCAACACAGGCGCTATCATCAACACAAACAAGCAAGGCTCTGGGGCTTGCTGTTCTGTCGGGACGCCCAGTGGGGGATGACATGCCGCGGCGAGTGCGCAACTAAAATTACAAAAACTAATTAACCGATACATACGCGATAAGCTGGTATGGGGGATTTGACTAATAATTTTAAGACGAAACTACTGTTTAAGTGGGTACGGTTTAACGAGGTTTCACTGTACCAAAAAAACCACTCCCATAATCGCTGGCACACAACTGTAAACAAACACGTGTAAAGCCCCCCCCAAGAACTAAGAAAAGAAAACATGAAAAGAAAATGCACTGGGTTATGTTACGTCCAAAAAAGTAAATTCCGCATCTGTTAGTAGAACAGACGCTTGACTGACGCAAATGTCACCTCTTTTCCTAATGGGATACACTTCCATTATTTCAGTTGTTGCTCGCTCCTTGTGCCTGTCAATTATTCGCGTGTCTAAAAATTTCCGTTGAGAGGTGCACTCCTTGCAGTGCATCGCTAAGTGTAAGTAAGGGGCCCCCTTTAATGAAATCTCATGTTGCCCAACCGTAGAAAGGCTAGCCAAAAAGAAAGGAAGCGGAGAATCATACAGACGTAGCATAAAACACGGCAGGAGGTACACTTAGTGCAAAAAGATGTACACGGAACTCCTCTCACATTTGGAAAGGAATAAGTCGGTCAGACGGGTCGGTGCCTGAATGTACGCCTTCGTGAACATGAGAGTTCACTGAAGGGGGCCCCTTTTAATCACACTTAGCGATGTACTGCAAGGAGTGCACCTGCCAACCGAAATTTACAGACACATGAATAACGTGACAGGCACAAGAAGCGGGCAACAAGGGAAATAATGGAAGTGTACCGCATCAGGAAAGGAGGTGACAATTGCGTCAGACAAGCGTCTGTTCTACTAAAAGATGCGGAATTTGCTTTGTTGGACGTAACATAACCTAGTGCATTTTCATTTATACGTTTTCTTCTCTTAATTTCTGGGGGGGTGGGGGGGGGCGGGCTTTACACGCGTTTGTTTTTGGTTGTTTTGGTTGTGTGCGCCATCGATTATGGGAGTGTTTTTTAACATACAGTCGTCGACCGTTTATTCAGACACCGAAAATTCGGACATGCCTGTTAATTCGGACATTTTCATGGCACCGCCACTCTCCCCATTGATCCTAATGTAAACTCACGACCGAAAATTCGGACACCCCAGTGTGCGCCATTCGATTATTTAAACTACGTTTAACTGACCGGATGCGTCGCCGTACACCATTACACGCTGACAGCGACGTTAACAATACGTTTGCTAGGTTGCCAGCATAGATATGCTGCACTAGCTATGGATGAATGTCGGGCCAGTGTCAAAATGAACGCAGAAATCGCCATTGCCGATCTCGAAGGCTATGTGTGGCGACGCTTTTTATTTTTTAGCCAGTCGAGCGGCCAAGCCAAGCCACCTACAAGGTCTGTTCGTTGTGGCATTTGGCGTGTGCCAGCTGCTTCTGCGGCTAGGCCTGATTCTTCTTGTTCTCTGTGTTCTCGCTCTCTTGTGTGTTCCGTGGCGTGCTGAAATGGCTCTGACGCCACCCACTGCTGCACCGTCGGGAGTGAAGAAACGCGGCCAATGTGGGAGCTACAAGACACTCACGATGACGAAGAAAGCGGAGATAATTCGCCAGGTAGAAGGCGGCCGACCTCAGTCTGAAGTGGCTTGAGAATTTTCTATTTCCAAGCAAACCTTCTCGAAAGCATGCGTGTGTGCAGACATGATAGTTTTTTCAGGCGATAGGACCTATAAAAGTGTTTTTTTTCCCCGAGTGAATTCGTTTTTTCGGACTCCCGATTATTCGGACTTTTTGGCGGTTCCCGTTGAGGTCCGAATAAAGGGTCGGCGACTGTTTCACGTTGTTGATGAGGCCAGGGGGAGGCTCGGAATAACGTACATGCGTGTTACAGTAAAATCTCGTTAATTAAACCCCTGTTGATTCGGAATTTCGGTAAATTCGGCCACGGCATCTGGTCCCGTCCAAAATGTACATTATTCTATGACTGAAAACTCTCATTAATTCGAACGAATTCGGCCACACTTCGGCTGATTCGAACGCCCGACCGCAATCGAGTCACGACGGGTAAGCAGCAGCGGATTCTGTCAGCCAAATCGACAGCAACCTAAACAACTTTGGGATCGGATTGCCGCCACCTCCCAGATTCAAAATGGAAGGCAGAGCACTGCTACTGTCATCAGCAACGAACCACCCACGGATTTGCCTTTCTTTTTGTGTGGGCGCGCATGCGTGACCACTGCGCGAGGGATGCCGGGGTGGCTTTTCCTCCGTCTCCTGCAGCCCCAACCACCCCAACTCCCGCAGCGAAGAAGGCGAAGTACGAAGCGAAGGAAAAAATATTGAAGGCGTTACAAGTGGGAGCATCTCGCAAAAGAAGTGACGGGAAAGTTCAATGTGAAGAAAAGCACGCTGAGCCCTTACGTGAAGAACAAAAAGCAGATTATGCAAGCGTATGACAGGGACATGTTTGGCGACCAAAGAAAGAGGCTTCGAACGGCAGCGCATCCAAAGCTAGAAGAAGCGCTGTTGCGCTAGATAGCCGTTCAGCGCGATCCACGTTTGACCTTGAGCGGCCCCTTAATCTGCGCAAAAGCAGAAATGTTCGCGGTGACCATGAACATTCACTCCTTCAGTGCGTCGGAAGGCTGGTTCGACCACTTCAAGAAGCAACACGGGCTGGTGTTCCGCAACGTTTGTCGTGAAAGAGGTGCGGTTGACAAAAGTGTTATGCGGGACTGGCGGTCTGGACTATCCGCGTGCCTTTCTACGTACGAGCCGTGCAACATTTTCAAGCTGATGAGACAGCGCTATTCTATAAGGCTCTGCCTGACAAGACAATCGCGTTTAAGGGGGACCCGTGCGTCAGTGGAAAACGAAGTAAAGAGCGCGTGACAGTTCTTCTGGCTGCTAACATGACCGGCACAGAGCGGCTGCTGCTGCTGGTGATCGGGAAGGCTGCGAAGCCAAGATGTTTTAAGAATCTTAAGCAGCTGCCTGTCAACTACTGGTTCAACAGAAAGAATTCGATGAATGCTGAAGTCTTTAAAGCCTGGCTGCATCAGCTCGACCACCACTTTGCGGCCAAGGCTCAGAAGGTGGTGTTCGTGCTAGACAACTGTAGCATGCACATGAAGGTGATGGGCTCGAGAACAATGAACTGCTATTCCTGCCTCCGAACACAACGGCTTCCCTGTAGCCGATGGACCAGGGAATGATACAGTTCGTGAAAGGCTGCTATCGACGGCATGTACTCGAGCGGATGTTGCTCTGCATAGAGTCAGGCAAGCAGTACGAAGTAAGCCTGCTAAACGCAATCCACATGCCGACATACGTGGGGAACAACACACCGCCTACAGTAGTCGCAAACTGCTTTGGGCATAGCGGCTTCGTGCACGACGCTGCTGATCCGGGTGTGGTGGCCAATGAGGAAACTGGCGAAGAGCAAGACTGACGCTATGTGAGCATCATGCCAGCTGATGTGCCCCTTGGCGATTACTTCGTAATTGACAACTATGTTGCTGTGGCCAGCACAGTGACAGACAGCGATATCATCACTGAAGTCTTGGACGGCTAAGGGGAATCTGCTGACGAGAACGTAAGTGATGCTGACGAGCGTCCACGCCACACAATGACAGAGGCTGCGCATGCATTGGCCGTTTTGGAGGACATATGCATGCTTTCCTCGGACAGTGTGCGCGGACTAAGCCACCTGCAGGAACTTCGCAAAAATTGTGACTTTGTCGCACATTGCGTCCGTGAAGTCCCCTCTTCATCTCGCGTGGCATACGTCACCGCTGACGCACTGTTGGAGACAGCGTCTACTTCCGGTTGCCGGGATCCGCCGCTCCGACGCCGCAGCTCGCCGTCAATTGTGTTGTGTGTGTCATCTGGGTGCACTAATCGTTGACTCACCGCTGTTGCTGTCGTGCCGGCCCGTGCCCCTACGCTAGCGACTTGGCGGTTGGGTTACGGGCCACAGATGTTGATTCGCAAGCGGCAACACGACCACGAACAGCAAGGTGCGCGCGAACAGCTGTTTGCAGAGTGACCGAAAGTCGCCGGTTGTCGCTCAGCCAATCACAAGCATCGCAAGTGGTGACATCATAATTTCACTGGTGATGTCACAGATGTCAGTGGCGGGAGTGGCGGGGACAGGAAAGGAGAAGCTATTGTTTTTTCGAAACTGTGGTGCGCCCGGTACATGTATGCTGCGGCACGTGGCATTGTTGATCGCATCGGCATTCTGCACGCGATGCGCTTGTTTACTTGTTTGTGAAAATATCGGAGGGGGTTTAGGAAGGCGCAGTACTGTGTGTGCGCTTTGTAGTGTACCTTCTGTAGTGGCTTTAAACCATGAAGTCATGATAAACGCATGTTCGGACTACCAATTGCAATGTATCTTGAAGCCCCATTCTTACTGTGATATTACATGTTGCATTGTGAAGCATGTATGATGGATGCATGTGTTTATAAAGTATTCAAGTTTATAAAGTATTCAAGTGGTAGAACACCCGCTTACCCCGCAAGCAACCAGAGTTCGAACCTTACTCAAGCCAAGAATCGTTATTTCATTTGCATCATTCTAGATTTTTCAGTCTCGCCCGAGACAATTTTTCGCTCACCACAAACAATGCCACCGCTAACACCAACACCGACACTGACCCCTACACAGGAATTCCCGCAAAACGAGCTCTGTAACGCTATCACGCTAGAGTCACCATAAAACAGCACAGCCAATTCAATGCTTAGGAACAGTAAAAGAAATACTACTGCAGACCAGAGAGATAAGTCGGCTCTCAAAGAAGAGGAAGGCGCCTCTGCTGTCTGATCATCAAATCAGTCAGCAGAGTTGGGAAGGAACACTGTTCCAGACGTTCTGTCCAAGAAACGGGAAGACTGACCTCGCTTGTTGAAGAACTCCCTGGAGTATCGGCCCGAGAAGGCAATGTGCCTGGGGATCTCTCCGAGGAGTTCAATGATGTGGGCCAGGTGGTCTTCGTCTCGACTGTAGTCCTCCCCCGAATGCGGCTCAAAAAGGTAGTCACCTGTGGCCAGCTCAAACGCCTGCAGGAACAACATCGAACAGAAGCGCTTGGGTTACGAGCAGCAGCACCAGATTTGGCAGCTCGGATTCAAAACCTATGGACCACTAACTGCAGCCAGTCAGCACAGATAGCTAGGCAAGTAGCAGCACAAGACACTGCAGGAGGGAAGAAAACATAGTCGCTTGCTTTGTACAATGCTATCATGTCCAGCTGCAGCATTACTTGGAGTGCATCTATCGACTAAAGAAGAAATTCTCTCAAGATGACATTCTTCAGTGGTTGCAACTTCTTCTAGGAGAGAAGTGTTGTAACAGAAAGAAGAATCTGAGAAGCCTCCCCCTTCTTACTGGTCATAACAGCTATCAAGCAGCATTATCAAATAATTCACACAAACAGAAGCCATTTGATTGCGTAAGCTCGCAGGTTTTAGTCACAGGCAACTAAATGTTGGAGAGTAGCAGTGGCAATTCACACAAACGGAAGCAGTTTGATTACGCCGGCTCGCGTGTTTTAGTTACAGGCAACTGAACGTTGGGGAGTAGCAGTGGCCTTTCCATTCCAATTTTCTAGGCCACTATGTCACACACTTACAGAAAGTAAGGAGAAATTTCTGGATAAATGACCTATAAATATACATATCTTGACTTCTGTGCTTCCTTTTGATGCCCCCAAAATATTCAATAAAAATTGCAGAGCACAACCGCAGAACTTTGGGGCGGCCCTTTCTCAAGCGGCCATTGGTTCTCTAAAAAGTGTTCTGCGATAGTGTGCCTGCATCACATGTTCTCTAGTCATGCGCTCGAACATCGTAGGTCAAGCAGTCGCCACACACCATGCACGCGGTGCTCCAAATGTCGGCGGGCGTGCCGTAGCCAGCTCCCAAGAGGACCTCAAGGCATCGGTACTGCCGCGTCTGTATGTCCTCGGTGAAATGGTGATTCTACAGGAGAAAACCAGAAAAAAGAGACACCACAGGCAAATACAACATACTAAAACACTTCCACGTTCAAATGTGAAGAACAAGTGCGCAACATCGCATGCGGTTACAGTAAACTTGCTTGAAATACATCATCCATATGCCCTTGCGAAAGTTCTACACTCAAACCTCACAGCAACAAAGTTGCGTCTTACACAGAAATAAGTTTGTTATATATGAAATTTTTTTATAAAGGTATGTTCCTGACAATATATCCATCGAAAGGCTATTCTTCATTTACTTTGTTATAACTGATATTTCGTTATATCCTGGTTCTTTATATAGAGATTTGAGTGTATCAAGTTGAACTAGTGCAGGCTCACGGCGCTTCAAAGATAATTACATAGACCAACAACATTACTTTCTTGCTTTTAATATACAATACATCCTTTCAATACTTGCTGGTATTAAATTCTTTAATGCACATTGTGTAAAGTAACTAGCCATATCATTGTGCATATAAAAATACAATGCAACCTCTCCTAATGCATGTCAAAGCTAATAACAGAGTAGTGCAAGGAAATTATTCAACTTACCACCCAGCAGGCATTTCCAAGGTCAGCTATTTTTACAGATATATTACAAACTTCGTGCACAGGGTCAGCCATCTTCTCTGGTGGTTTTTGGTTTTCTAGACAAGGTCAACAAGGAAACAAAATCAGAAATGCAAATATGCACCAATACTAACCCACTTTGTTCTCTCAAAGGGCACACCAATGAGACGATCAACAACTTTCACTCGGCACTATCGAGTTGGTGAAGGATGCATTTTCAACAGCACTCAAGCCATATCGAGATCAAGTTTTTCTATCACAATTTACCAACTTGAGCAACCTGTTTATCGACAAAGCCAGTATCAGGAGACCGATTCCACCCCCATCTAGTCAAAGCAAAACTAAAAATTAAAAGACACCGCTGAACAAATGCGCTGTTGTTTCAAATTGCCTTATCACTGAACAATAGGCCGAAATTGACAGCAATACTTATGTATATTTATGTATGACATACCGTATTTACTCGCGTAATCTTCGCACTCGCATAATTCTCGCACCCTCCACATCGCCCAACCAAAATGCGATTTCTTTTTTTTCCCCCGAGTAATTATCGCACCCCCAAAAACTGCCGCATTAATGTCGTCTGCTCGTTCCAGCCACTGATGATGATAGCGTGCGCCATCAGGCACCATCTCTTAAGCATCAAGCGTACTATTATTACACAGAGATTCAATCCAATCCAAGCCAAGCCAAAGCGGCAAGTGCGCGTTGCGGCGTGTTTGGTATGACGTGTCGGTAATCTTGTCACGTTTATGAGGCGATACTGAAGCTACATGGCTGCTTTCAAGTTGAAAGTGATAGATCATGATCTAAGCAACGGCAACAGGGCCGCCGGTAGGCCTTTCGAAGCATACGAGTTTTGTGTTCGCTACTGGTGACAGCAGCTGAAAGTCACCAAGACGCGTTGGGCCTGCCGTGTGCCTAAAACTGGGATTGATGGTAAACTTTATTTCTTCAGAAGGAAACTGCGGACGATTCTGTTAAATAGTTATCAGCCCAATACTGACGTCCTATGCTTACCTTTTGAACGCTCCTTTTGAGCAACGAACGCTACTGCCACGCTCGCAACGCCCACAAGCTTTGCGTATGGTATTCTGATTCTCGACTGTTTGCTTGCACTTTTTGTGTCTCAAAGAAATCTTGCCTTGTGTTGACCCTGTGCTTTTATTGTTGAGGTAAGTTTTAATTAGTACTTCTCAAAGCTTGCCGTTAGTTACTGGTGTGAGAATCCCAATTTGCAGTCCCTTCATTTTCTTTTTCGCTCTGTACGTTTTCGTGGGAAGTTTTCCCCACGTAATTCTCGCACCTCCCAACTTTGCATCGGTTTTCCGCCCAAAAAAGTGCGAGGATTATGCGAGTAAATACGGTAAGTGGAAAGACTAGACCCAAACAGAAAACGGAACAAAGTGCTGCCTATTCTATCGCTATTGTCCAAGGTAAAGCAACAGAATAGGTAGCACGAAATGAACAAAGTTACACGACTCGGTCAAGGTATATATATATATATATATATACAGTGTAACCCCAATTATACGACTTTGAGGTGACCACACAAAACCGCCGTATGATCCAGTCGTATAATTAAGATTAAGAATATAGACAGCGATGATCAATCTTACAGATTGCCAGAATAAGCCCGCGGCCTGAATAATTTGCTGTTCTCTGCAGAAGGAAGATTTCCTTAAATTAAATTCTTATAATTATCAGCTAAACATGTAATGAATGTGCGTACAAATCTCTACTCTCGACTTTAAAAAAAGAAATCTAACACACACATTCTTTCAGATCAAATGGGCCCTTACACCCAATTCTCTTTTTACCTGTGTTGTGAGGGTTCAAATTCACAAATAAGCTGGCAATATTTTAGCGCAGTTAGTCTAGTACTTAGGCTATAATTGAATTTTTATTTTTTATGTTTTACAAACATGCAAGTGACCCGTGAATTGGGCAACACTGGTATGCTCGCGGGCTATGACATAACAAGGAGCTAGCTGTGCAAGCGGCCGCATTCGGGCAAACAACAATGTTTCATGGTCATCTGCACTTTAAATGCGAGATAATCTAGCTTTCATCAGCTTGGCACTGAAATTGAGTGATTTGCAGCGGCAGAACTTTCAGTAAAAGATGACGGCTCCGCCCTCTTCCAGCACACGACGGCACACACTACACAGCGAAATTTGGTGGTCTCCGACAGCAGATCAGCTCCACTCCCAGCCATCGCATCGGCCTCCATAGAGAACTTGCTTAAGTGCGTCAAGCAATGAAATTACTTATTCTCGTGATGCCAAGTGCTTCTCGAATGTTTCGCATAGTCGAGTTTCCTACCATACCCATATTGGTGCAGCTGGTTCTAGATCAGAGACTTGATTGATTGATTGATATGTGCGGTTTAACGCCCCAAAACCACCATATGATTATGAGAGTCGCCGTAGTGGAGGGCTCGGGAAAGTTTGACCACCTGGGGTTCTTTAACAGGCACCCAAACCTGGGCACACGGGCCTACAGCATTTTCGCGACCATCGAAAATGCAGCCACCGCAGCCAGGATTTGATCCTGCGACCTGCGGGTCAGCAGCCGAGTACCTCAGCCACTAGACCACCGCGGCGGGGCTAGGTCAGAGACTTGAACGTTCTGGTAAATTTCATTGGGAACTCTTACATTGCAGCTCGCCAAAATGCAATTTTTGAGAGCTTTGTGAATAGCAAAATTTAAGGTAAGGAGCATATTTGAATACTGAAGTGCAAATCAAATTGAACATTTTTTTTTTAATATTCCTTGAATATTGCTAAAATATTTTTCAAATAGTTCAAAGTGAATGCAGGGAAAAGAAGTTGAAGGGGATTCCCTAGCATGTTATTAAATACAACAACATGAAAGTGTTTCTTTTCACTAGCTTGATGAAGCGCTCGCAAGGTGGTACTTCATAAGCTTATCAAGAATGAGGCAATGCAAAGGCCGAATTGTATTAGTAAATGATTTGGTGCAACCAAAGCGTTGCCGACAACGCTTTACACGTGAAAGGTAGAGATGCTATGCTAAGGTAGAGGTAGAGATGCTAGTAGAGAGCTTCTGTGGAAGCCCAACTGAAGTGGCAGACAAGGTAGTGCTCCCTTCAAGTTAAAAGCTCCAAATCTGCCTCGTAAACGTCAACATACAAGAACATTAGAATTTTTTTGGAAGCCGAAATACTCGAAGTCCGATTTTTCATACTTCCTAACAAAATTTTCCTGTTTTGAGCATTAAGCCCCCCCTCCCCCCTTGCCATATCCATTATCGCCATGTTAGAACCAGCGTTTTCTTGAGGCAATACATTTGCAACCGTAACAGAGCCTGACGGCAGCTTTGCCGCAATACAAGAGTGTGATGAAATGAAACATATCGAAGACCTTAAGTGGTCAAATTTAATCGGACGTTGAGTGCATTTGTTTTTGGGAAGTTTGAATAGTTGAAATAGCAAGAATTGCAGTACAAATCGAACCGAATAGCGAACAGTTTGAAAAATATTTAATTTCAAATATTCGCACACCCCTAACACTGAACCTTAAACTCTAAGTACACGTATTTACATTCGCCAAGAACAAGTATTTATTGTTCAAGCGGAAACCAACTCTCATTCACAAGTGAACAGCAGGGGCGCCACATTTCTGTTGGCAGACCTGCTATTTTGTCTTTAGATTCTAACCGAAAATAGCTGCACGTATGAGGCACCCACCTGCGCCCGTAAAGCTAACCAGGAAAGGAAGCTAACCAGGAATGTGTAACCAGGAAAGTGCAAACCCCAGCCACTCACCAGGGCAGGAGGCCACCCTCCGCAGTTGTGCAGTGGGCGTGGGAGGTGCCAGGGTGCTTTCGGACCTTTCCAGGCGGCCCATAGTAGTCCGCGCGGCTCCGTCACCTCGGTGACCGTTGCAGACGTCCCCACCGGCCCACGTGGGGTCCCCACCTTCGGCGCTCCGGGCCCAATCCATGGCGTCTGCCAGAACGGCGCCCTCTTGCGGGGGCATGTCTGGGGTGGTGCCGCCTGGTCCCCCTCCGTTGAGCGAGCCTCCCTCCTGCTCCCCGTGGCCCCCCTCCTCTTCGTCCTCCTCCATGTCCAGCTCCTCCAGCTGCTGCATCTGCCGCTCAAGAAGCTCCTGCTGACGCTTGGCCTTCTTGCGCAGCTTCTTCTTCTTGTTGCGCGACATCTTGGAGGAGGAACCCCCACCCGTACCGGCTGCACCCGCACCTCCGGCAACACCCTCGGACGGCAGCGTGGGAACTGTGCGGAGCTCTTTGGGGGCAGTGCTCACTAAATTAAGCCGCAAAAAGGAGAAGGTGTTCCGCTTAGTACAAACAATTCCAGAACGTCAATGGTCAGCTTACATTACCTCCAGGTTTATATGCACAGAAATACCTGAAAAAAGTGAACAGGAGGAGGACGACCACCACTGTACCTCAAGTGGCAACGCATCAGGAGCATTATCTGAAGGTTGAAGGTTCGGACTGCGCTGTTGGCAAGCTGTCTTTTCGTCCAAATTTAACTTCTTTGCATTTATATCTCAATCACTACCATACTGTTCAAAAACTACAGATAATGTCCTTTATGGCTTCCGTGGCTTTTCTGTCAGTTTTCATTAACATATGTCTAACAAATAAAAATGAGCCCTTAAATTCTAATTTCTTCATTATTCCAGGGCAATTCATTTAACAGCTGTCAATGCTTTATATCGCTAAAAAAAACAGCGGTCAATGCTTTATATGGCTCAATACTTTTTGTGTGTTATGCAGCTTGCTTTAAGGGCTAATTTTTCATCTTTTATAAACATAGGTGAAAGATAATTCTTGGCAAAACTGTTAGTGCTTTTTATGCAAGTGTTCTGCTATGAGTGCTCGTGCAGCGGGAGGGGTAATCAGCTGTGATGTACGATTTCGTAACACGCAAGTGAAAATCGCTGTCATTATGGCCAACCCAGAAATCACCATTTTTTTCAAGCTGAAGCCCACAGTATCATGCAAATCCTCGAAATTACCACGCCAAGCACTGTTACAGAGATGCATTTGTAAAGACATTGAGCACACAAATTTCACCAGACACACTACACCAGCAGGCAAATGCACATGACATGATACTAGCGATACCAGCATCCAACAAAAAAAGTAGGAACTTTCATTTTCTCTCATAAGCAAGGCACAATTACGAAATTTGGGACTGCCAAGTTCTCAAAGAATTTGAATGGAGGTAAGTTGTGGATGCTCACCCAATGAACCGGGCAAGCGGAGCCCCATCTTCTGCCACTGGGTGGCCTCGTAGGCCAGCTTGCGCACGTAGGCGTCATCCACGGCTATCAGGATGTTCTCTGGCTTGATGTCTGTGTGGATGATCTGGCACTTGGAGTGCAAGTACTCCAGACCTTCCAGCACCTGCGATCGGTACGTTCGGGGAAAGAATAGAAAAAACATTGTTGAACAGGTAATGTCTCTGGAGCCGTTTTGACATGTCTGTCAGGCCAGCTCCGTTAGACTGCATGAACAAAAGGTTGACTATAATTGATTTTTTGAATATTATAAGAAAACACTACAATCTGACCATGAGGTGGTCTTTAGTGGGAAAGCTTGAATTAATCTTTAGACCTTCTAGAGTGCTTCAACATACACCTACCTACACGTAGGTACACAAGCCGTATCGCATCATGCCCCTTCGAATGAAAGTCATGGCGTATAGCAAACCAGCCACATAGATCTCAGTAGCGCAGTGCAGCAGGGAACAATGCATAAATAGCAATGCCAACTTCAATTCACTAGGATAAGTTCATGCAAAGTAGTAGCTGTGCGTTGCTTTCCTTCATTTAAATAAGCTAAATGTTACTGCTTATGCTTCACAGCCAAGTAGCAAGAAGACTCCGTGCGTGTCGCGCTTTCATTGCTCGTTTCCGCGCACACAAGGTTTCCGAAAAAAGATGCCATCGATGTAAAACATACTGAACTGCCTGAAGACCTATGCGCAAGCCACACAGACGCATAAAACTTGAACATAAAAGCCAGGCTCGCACGGCACAAAGAACTAATTTCTGCAGGCAAGTTGAGGAACAAGTTACGCGGGCTGTGAGCACCACAATCCCAGCCTACAGGTGCGCACTAACCACGAGGACTCATTTTATTATCAAGCAACGACTTACAAGCATACTCTACAGAGAAGCCAAAAGGCTAATCTTTTCCTTACCTGTCTGATGATAGTTCGCACATTGGGTAGTGGAATGCCCTGGTAATTTGACCGAATGATCAGTTTGAGTAAATTGTGTCCCAGAACTTCGAAAACCATGCACATATCTGGACAGTTCTATTAAGGAGACCAAAAGTGCTGCGAAATCGGCTGCAATGCCGTTGAAGCCACATTAAAAGACACAACACAAAGTTATATAATACCAATCACAAAGAACAAAGTGAGCAGTAATTTCTTGCAATGATAACCTATACGAAAATCACTTCACTGACAGAATGAAATGTAACAGAAAATCACGTAAGTGAATCCTTAATAAACATGACTCCAGAATAATTATGATTTTTGTCTGTAAAAACCAGCCCTGTTAGTGACATTCACCACTGCTCAAGGACAAGACAATGGCAACATAACGAGCTAAATGTGGCAAAATTAAGGACATTCTTACACCTGCCAAAAGCGGTTCAGAGGCATGACACAGCAATTGACTGTAGATTGATTGCTTGAAAGTGTGGGGTTCCTAATACGCATCTAAATGTAAGTATACAATAAAACCCACTTTAACACCTGAATTGTTCAAATGTAAATGTGACAAATCTGCAACCGAGCCTAACGCATTCGCTGACCACTCAAGTCATAGTGGTTAATCCTATGCCAACGGATTAGAGTGCCCTGCGCCTCGTGACCACTTCCGATGCCAGAACGTGTTGACGCCACAGTGTGCCAAAAAAAAGTCCATCAATTTTTATAAATGCAGAGAGCTATTGGTCAATGATTTGGTCTTCTGCACAACTATGCCGATGCCTTTGCAGGAGAACATTTGGATAGAATGAAGGCGAGGTGGCGACAACCAACAACGCAAGTATCTTGAGCTATCTTTCCAGGTACGCGTGTGGCGTAGAACTACTGTAAGCCTACAGCACAATTTTAGCATACAACAACACGAACACACCAGGCTGCCAAAGAAACAAAAACAGGAACACATGCTGCATGCAGTAAAGTTCGGAAGGATACGGGTCCCGTTGACTCCCGAGATCTTGAAGTCGTCGAGAAGTTGCACCACCCGCTCTCGGCATGTGTCGTCCGTGTCGCTGTCTCGAACCTGAGGGTTGCATTGAATAAAAACAAAGAAAGGTGGAGGCACAGTACCCTGGAATTAGGCACGGTATTTTGATCACGGTAAAGAAAAAAGAAACGCAGAGTACAAAAAAAGGAAAAAGAAGCAAAAAATGAAATGAATGGCAAGAGCAATGCAATACTCACTGCCTTGAGAAGTTTGATCTCATCCAGGGCAGTGTCGGTGTAATGTGAGGCACTCTTCACAACTTTGAGGGCCACAAACCGCTTGCCCCTGCCCGACAGGAATTTTCGAAGAATGTTGGTCAAATCAACTTGTTCAGTTCATGCAGTTTATTTACACAGTCACTCGCTACTATGCTCTGTATGATCGTCCTGACTCTTGCATTAACAGGAAATTATCACTATAATAACGTGATTACATATATTATCATGACACACATGTATGACATCCGCTAACAGCCAGAAAACATGTCAAGGGCGTGCATGTGCATTATTGCCTGTAAGTGCGATAATGCACCTGCACGACCTTGACCTTTGGCCTTCTCTTTCAAAAGGTGGCCTATTTGCTTCCCCGTACACGATTACATCCGTTTCCGTACAACCAATGAGTTACACAAATGATGCCACAGTTGTTGCAGTTCCTGTTACTGGGACTCCCAAAAGCCGCTTCTGCCTTGCCGGCGATAATATGGACTTGTTTTTGCTTCCAGGCACGCTCACGACATAGTTTTCTTTGGTGCACGCTGGTCTCTCTGCTGCCAGCAAGTCTATCTAGCGACGATTCCTGCGAATCGCCACTCGAAGTGCCGATGAAAATCTGATTCAGTAAATGTAAGCTTATCATGCAAGAATATTGAAAAGTGAGCGACATCTCAAGAGCATGCGTGGCGAGACAATACCGACTGTATCAAAAGTGGCTCCTCCATCTCATCACTAGACGGCACTTTGTGCACCTATTTTTGGACGTGTTTGGACAGGTTTACGCTTTCCCCATTTCCGCAAAACGCACACAAATACACGAGTGTCCATTTACGCTGAAACTACTATCGGGGTGCGTGGAGAAAACTATTTTTGGACGTGTTTGGACAGGTTTACGCTTTCCCCATTTCCGCGAAATGCATGCAGGTACACGAGTGTCCATTTACGCTGAAACTACTATCGGGGTGCGTGGAGAAAACTAATTGGAGGAGAAACTCACACAAGGTCCCAGCAAAGCCAGACGGTTGAGAAGTGGCCCCAGCCTAGCTTCCGTACCACGTGGTATCGAGTGTAGAAGAGGTCCCCAATCTTCACCGGGTGGTAGCCCCCTGCAATGTAAGGCGAGAATGGGAGATCAGTTTTGTCACGCATTCTATAACTGTCGCCACCCCAGCTGTTATAAGTATCATGGTATAGCATCACTCAGCAAGCAAAGTAACAAACAATGACACAAAGCAAAACCACCTAATCTTTCTACACTCCTAATAGTAACAAAACTTGACAGTCACCCTACGGGGCAGCTTCGTACGCTTCCCAAAACTGCCTCGATGTGGCGAAACTATGCCAAAGAGGGCATCTTTGGAGTGCCGAAGCACTCCTGCAGCGCAACACGAGCCGATGGTTGTGGTACTTTTAACGCAGCTATGGGGTTATTTTACAAAAAAGGCGAAGTGTGCCCGTGGGACGACGATGCCAAACGTGTTTCGAGTGCCGGCGTACAGTTCCATTTACAGGAAAACAACCGAAAGGCACATTTGATTAAGTAACAAGGAGCGGCGCCGAGTATGATTGTAGACCCTACCATAGCTGGACAGCGGCAACTGTGATTCTGAAGCGACGTGGGCACATTGGCACCATAAATGTCACTACCTGCGATTCTAATTTCAATCGCTAAATCTTGTTCGAAAACGCCATTGTGTAGACGAAAAATTTATGGATGACGGCAGAATACCTGTTTTATTTTCTGGATCATTAGATGAAACAGCATCCAATTTTAGGCAAACATTAAAAGTGACACCTAAAATTGTGTTCACTATTAACGGTATCACACTACTAACGTCTCTCACCAAGCCATGACTGCTGCAATTTGCAGAGTGAAAAAAAAAAAAAAAGAGTCAATTTATTAAACACTTTTGATTATCAAAAGAAAAAGAAAGATTGCAACTTTCTGGATCATTAGATGAAACAGCATCCAATTTTAGACAAACATCAAAAGTGAAACCTAATATTGTGTTCCCTATTAACGGTATCAGATCGAGACTAAGGGCTCACACCAAGTTATGACTGCTCCAATTTGCACAGAGTGAAAAAAAAAAATTTATTGAACACCTTTGATTATCAAAAAAAAAAAAAGATTAGAACTTTCCAGTTTACAGTGCCTCAATGATATGATGATTATAGCACTTTAAATAAAAAATATTTGCATCTCTTGAGCTGAAAGCACCGCAAGTTGCCTAACTTGCTATTGTTTTGTTTTTGCCCGAGTGAGCACTTCAAGACTTGCCATGCACTCAGGCATTCATTCATGCATAATGCGTGTTGAAGGTAGGTACATGAGGAGCGAGGCAACCACTGCGGAAGTTTGGAAAGCTACAACACCGAGGCTGTCCCACACACAACCACGCTGATAGCAGCGTTTGCATGACCACTCAAGCACAGCAGCGCCTCTGGCAGCGGCGGCGGCCTACTTCATATAAAACTTTGACAGCAGTTTCACGACAGTAACAGGTACCAAAGAGCTCTGGTACTACCTAAAGCCTGGACCTGAGCTAGCCAGTGTGGTAACATCTTCTAGCAAGAGAAGAGCAACAAATATGGACAGAGAGCAATTCGTGTGTCCTTTTAATTGTCCATGCTTTTCTCCGGGTTTACCTGCCTTAAAGGGCCAGTTAACAAGCACCGAATCATCTTTTACATTCCCGAACAAGCTCGCCAATTCATGCAGTAAACCACTGCAACCCCGTTTTTCAAATATTACACCGCTGCATGCCACACAGACCTTTCACGTTGAAAAACTATTGCCCCGCCTCTTTCCTTCTGACCCTGCCCCCTCATACGCAGAGTGACACAAGCTTGCCCATTGGCAACTTGACATGCCACTAAGCTCATGGATTGGTCATTTGCCCTTCGAAATGGCATCTTGGTTATTCGGTGATGCCGTTTCAGCCACGCAGTCCACATTTTCTTTTCCCTATGCTGCCCTCTACCGCTTCGTAGACCCCGAGACTACCTGGAGAAGCAGTATTGCCAGAACGAAAGCCTCTAAGAGGTGCCTGCTACTTTCTGCTAGGGGAAGGGTGCTCCTCGAACAGCACTTCCTCCCCACGCTGCTGTGACACGCGCTCATATCAGGGATGCCCTGCTCGGTCATTGGCTGCGCACCAATGGTGCATCGCTGACGTCGTGTCACGTTGCTGAAGTGGGCGGAGTCACGAAGACAGGCTGCATCTTACCCCTCCCCATGGTGAAGAAGAGAGGCAAGACCGTGCAAAAATTTTAAACCAACTGAAACAGATGTTCTAGCCCTTATAACTTCCTTATTATAGCCTGTATTCGCGAAATTCCTGCGACAGCATATTCACATAACAAAAGTGCACACATTTCTTTTCATAACAATTTTTGTACCTCGGGGTTGTTCATTGACCCTTTAATAGTCTGCTAGACTTTTCCAAAAGGCTGCCGAGACCTATGTCAGATGAAGCAGCGAACTAATTTGAGTAGGACACACCTTTGCAATACTCTCCCACATAGTCTGTCGTCAATGAAAACTGCAGCCCCCTCCTTTATGATCACAAGTAAGGTGCTCTAATGCTACACCCCTGTGGCAGTGAATACCAAGCATGCAATGAGACATACATACATACGCACACACACACACACACATGCATGCACACACACACACAAACACACCTTTGCAATAGTCCCTTGGGTCTTCTTGTTCATCATCATCCGAGCCCAGGATCTCTTCTTCTTCCTCTTCATCCTCACCCGCATAGTCATACTGAGACTCGTTTCTGGCATGAGAAAGCAAGCGCAAACGCTCCAGATTTGAAACAATTCAAGATCCAGTGCACTGTGCTAATGAGACGAGGTCATTGCAGCTGGGCAACAGTGTACATTCCGACACACTCCAACAAACAGGCAGCACATCGTAAAAAAAAAAGAAAAAGGTCGAAGAGCAGTACACATGAAAAAAAAAACGCCAGGCCTGCGCGGAAAACGCAGCACAGTCACTGCAAAAGCTAGAAGAGAGGCCTAGCAGAGCCCTTTCTAAACACTCATTGAGTAACTGCCGCAAGCACACTTGTGTAACCACTACGGCATTAATAATAAAAATGTTAGGGTAGTAGGCCGACATTCGCTATGCTATTTTTTTCGTCATTCTTCAGAGAAGCGTGGTACCCACTGAACAATTGCAAGAAATTTTGTGCCAAATGTTCATGCAGTGGCTGACGACGATAAGGAATTATGCCTGAAGTAGGTATGCGCCACAGTTAATGGGTGAACAAGAACAAGCTTTTGAAATGAGTTGGAGCATTGGACGACCCACTCATTACGCAATTCGCATTATGCAACAATTGGTGGTTCTTTCGCTGTTTTAAAACGCTTCATAGGTCGCAATAACACATTAGGTGGATAACAAAATCCTGGCTCACGCAGTGATTTGTGAGCTACGGCGCCCGGCTGCACCGACTTCCGGTTCGAGATTTCGTGATGTCAAACGAGCATTCTTGCCAGTGCCGGCGCTTTTTGTGTTCCACCTTGCACTCGTGGTGCCCTTTTTCTTACAAATTGCAACATAATACTTTGGAGTGCTATGCAGCTGGTTGAATAACAAATTCAGACACTAAGAGATAGTTATAATGGTGTTAGCCCTCATTTCCTCATAGAAGTGGCTTGCACCTCCGGCCACATGCAACTTGTTTTGCAGCAAAGGTTATTGTGGCGCATTTTTCAGATACGAAGATTTTATTCACATCATAGGATCACGAAATATTTGTTCATTTGTTTTCATGTTGCTTACGTGTCCGTAAAATTATTTACTTTTGGGTTGCAAAGAGACCAGTCTGGGCTCAATAGAGCGAATCACCGTAGTAATGAGTTTCGAACACTATAAATAAAACGCGCTCGTAGTTCTCTGGCTTTTTTTTTTTATGCCTCTAAATATCCCTTTACATGAGGTGTCATCCCCCCACACACTCGAACATCGTTTTTCAGTGCATGCAAAATGCTCCGCACTCAGCATACAGTTCTGTAACACAGCCTTTAAGGCTCTGAGTTGACTGATATATGAAGATTAACGTCCCAAAACCACCACATGATTATCAGACGCCGTAGTGGAGGGCTCCGGAAACTTCGACCACTTGGGGTTCTTTAACGCCCACCCAAATTTGAGCACACGAGCTTACAGCATTTTCGCCTCCATCAAAAATGCAGCCGCCGCAGCCGGGACTCGATCCCGCAACCTTTTGTACTGGACGAGTGGTAAGTCATTATGATATTTACATGTTCTGATGCCTGACGACAATGTACGTAATACCATGCATTATTACTGCAATATTTCATGTTTTATTGTGAAGCATGTATAGAGGATGCGTGTGTTAATAAAGCATGAAAGTTGCTTTCCCTGCATTTCCAAGCAGAAGAAGTTCTTTTCACTGTATTCACAAGCAGATGCGTGGCTTTGCGGTAGAACACCCGCTCGCCACGCAAACGACCTGGGTTTGATCGCCACTCGGTCCCTGGATTTTTTTATATTTATTTTATTTCCATCTTTCTCGGTTTTTCAGTTGCGCACAAGACGATTTTTCGCTCACAACCAACGGCACTAACACCAACGCCGGAATTGCTGCAATATGAGCTCTTTAACGCTATCACGTTAAGAAATGCCAAGGAACACAAGAAAGAAGACGACAAGCACTCTTGCTAATCCTCCCTTTTTTTTTTTTTTCCACAAATTTAGCTATACTAGTAACGCTCCTTTTCGAAATATCAGTGGCCCCACCACCATTCAAATGACAACACGTCTGGTAAGCCCAAACATGCACGAAAAAAAAATAATAAAACATGAAGATTCAACCCTTACGTTCCAGCAATGAGTCACTGTGATGACATGTATTTTGACAGCATCTACTAGAGCCTACGTAACTCTATATAACCGAAAAAATTCCCAGCACAGTGACCTGCATAAGCAAGCCAGATATACACAGCCTTTAAAAAGAGCTTATAAAGACATTACCTCCGAAACACAAAAACAGGCTTTGAAATAAATGACTTCACACAGGCAGTCAGGTGCCGAGACTTTGGCGTGCAATTTTAAAAGTAGAACCTTTTAGCCAGATTTTCTTCTTCGTATAATGAGGCTGCGATGGTGAAATTATTGACAGTGACATTCTGAATTAAGGATATCGGTCCAAACTGATTTGAGTTTTACTTCAGTCTCTCCCGACATAAAGCCATCATTTTATAGCAATGATTTTTACTCAATTCTATGCTAGTCAAATTTTGATCGAACCTTCACCCTATTAATGTGGCCATATATGTGCTTAGAAAAGTGATGAGAAGTGAAAAGAAGACCATAAAAAAAGGTATAATCAACGAACATAAACCCTGTAGTTGCTATATTACCGTAAAGCAGCAAGCCGGTAGTTAAGTCTCACGGGCCACGTTAGAGAAAGCACACTAGAAAAATGTTGGTCCGATGGCCGAAGCCAGTGGAGGCCCATCACCGCACGCTAATAGCAGCACATAAACATATTAGACACCACATGCATGCGTAGTTTCGTCACATTCAATTAGTAAATAATGCAGCTAACAAACAAAGCAATCACAAACTATGGTCAGTTACATGGACAACATTTAGAGTAACTTGAATGGAGAAAAAAGAAAAACAATGACAGACACTGAAAAAGAACTATGCATCTGGTCTTCTTTTTGTTGCGATAACCAGCTAACCACCCATTCATCAAAGCTGCAAACCACATTTCCTTAAGCACGCAATAGTTGGATATTTTAAAGATGTTTTTAAAATTCCCAGTCACAGTTTCATGGAGTGCCAAGTGACGAAAGCAAGGGCTTTATTTTATTTTTCTGTAAGCATGGCTATCCTAATGACCCTGCAAAACTGAGGCAAGGCACATGCCAATGCGAATGAACATGACTGGCGCATCTAAAACTGGCAGAGAGTAGGCGTAACATGACAGCCAAGGTGAACTCTTGACTTGGAAGGTGATTTATTTAAAACAAAACAAAGTTGATGTTAACATCAGGAATACAAGATTTTGTACTCAGTTTAAATATGTTCTACGCTATATTTCCTGTAGCTGCTCCATAAAACATGCATCTGTGTCCACACGCATACCTATCTCAACTTCAGAATTTTATGACAGTGCTCCTTTAATAATGTTAAAACTTTTACCAAATAGGACCTTTTAATTTTTAGGACCTTTTACCAAATAGGACCTTTTTAATTTAGGGAGAACTTGCTAGCAATTTTAGTTTCAAGAGGCATAGTGTTTGCTATTTTTATACTGTTGTGTTGTATTAGTAGGTCAGCATACTTGTTAAGCATGGTGCCTGAGTAGTTTAAAATAGGCACTGACAAAATTTTGCGGGCGAGATGGCCAGCAGAAAGGAACTCGATGAACATGCATGTAACCTTTGGAAAGTATCAGCGAATATGCCTTCAAAGGTCTTTTATATGAATTTTGAAGTTTGCAGGTGCGATCAAGCACTATATGCTGCACCTCGTGGCATCGAAACCCTTAAAAGAGACTTGGCGGTAACCCCTCTACTTCCCACACGTCATCATAACTTGTTAAGATGACGTCATAGTGGCCACTACTCTTTTGCCGCATTTGTGCTAGCAGACTGCTTCTCAGCGGCTGCAGTGGCCGCAGTGCACGCACTGTTAGTTTGATGTTCGGGAACACTCCTTTTCCATGTGTCCCAACGAGCCCCCGGCAACACACTGCAGCATTTACAGTTTCCCCATAACAGATGCAGCAAGCGGTCAGCACTGCTAGGTAACTAACTTTGGTTTCTCTATTAATTGACTTGTATCCGAAAACACAGAGGCATAAGAACACATCGTCAGCCCATTTTGTACAGTACCGTCCACTGTTTAAGGAAACACTAATGAGTAGCTGTAATATTGTAGGCCTAACAACTGCAGGTATAATTAGAAACATTGTTCATGTTAGAACAGTCAACCAGCAGTGGTCTCATGAAAATTTAAGCCACTATGCTTCTGCCAGAGAGCGTAGTCCTAACTTGGTGCCCACGAAAGTGTTCTTTTCAGCAATGAACCAGTCTGTACACAGCAGGTTGGAGCCTTCTTCCAACTATCTTAATTTACATGTCTTGAGCAAGCTAATACTTTTATATTCCCACAACTTTTTTTTTTCAATTTCATCCCAAATGCTATAACAATCAAATATCAAGTACATCTCAAAACTAGGCACAGGCAAACGGACAATTGGTACCATTTGAGAGAACATTTTACAAGAATTCCGCTTAAAGGTAGTTGAAAGCAGCTTCAGTTTTTGCACTGCGTTACAATGATGTTTGGTTGCAGCAGCAATCATCTGTCTAAGCTGTTTCATATGATTGCACAGACATCAAGAAGGAACAGGCTATGTTGGCTGGAACTACTGACTATTTTATTAGTAAGGAAAAACTGATAATTATGTACAGTACTAAACAATTAATGGATGTACTTTACAGATAAGCTCATGTCAAAACAATGCATCTTTTTTTGTTTTACTCAGACACTTGCATTAGAGCCAATATTACTTTTAGTGGCCAGATTTACAGCACACGAGGCAGTTATTACGAACAACTGCCCGTAGCAGTTGTTATACGAAAAAAACAATGTTACGCTTCAATGTGTGCGCACTGTACACTTTGGGACTGCCAAATGGTGACAAAAATGACAAACAGGGGATGGTCGCATTATTCGTGCCTTCGTCTTCGCGTTCGCTCTTTTAGTAGAGATCGTTTAACAAGATCCCCCAACAGTCAGTACATTAGTTTCCTTCTCACAGTTTAGCAGATAACTTTTTTCGGCACAACACTCCGATAAGAATGACAGACACAAGTACATCACTTCTTGCTCAGAGGGCTGCCCCACAAAAATAAATAAAAAGAAATTGCACGCTACAGCCAGACGAGCAAAACAGTGCAAGCTAGGCAAGCATGAAACAAAAGCTCTGATTTAGCTTCTGCCTTTCAGCTTTCTTTTTGGTCAAGGTAGTGATACAGAACATTGAGCTGCCCGATTTCAAGCGAGGTTTGAAATCAGGCAGCTCAATGTTCTGTACGACTACCTTGACCAGAAGAAAAACTTGTCTAAAGCAGAAACTCGAGGCTAGACAACATCTTTTTTCTAGCAGACAATCCCTGCCGTTAACTTAACGAGCCGGCGAAGCTGAGGAAATGTTCTTTCCCCGTAAGGCACAACGCAAAGACGACGTTAAAACGACAGTTGTGCAATGCAGGCGACGACAACTCGGCTAAAGCAATGCGGCGCACATCGGACCCCAGGCCAGTAACGTTACGAATCCTTTCCCGTGTTCCGGTATTAAATCGAGCCGAGGTCCGAAAAGCATGGGCAGAAACGAGAAAGAGGGAAATATCACGCATTACGACTCACTTCCGGCACTGCCCATGTCGCGATAAGCGCTTGACTAGAGAGACCGCGGCTACACTGCGAGGAGTAATGACTTCGCACCACCCGGGACTTTCCGCGACCGCTCTTTAGTTCATCGACCACTAAGTTACCCCGTTACGCAAACACGGTGTTAGTCATCAGGGCACGGGAACGCGAATGTTGTCAGGCACAGGTTTAAACAACGGTGTTCCGAAAACACCAGACGAGCAAAAAGAAAGCCCTCCCCCGACGTAGATGGACTCGGGAAGCCTCTCGTGCGAACAGGCATCCTGTCGATATAAGGGACGCACAAACACAAACCTCGGATGTTCTGTCGTCACCCGCGCTGCTTGTTAGTCAGCCCACCCGCCTGCGTTACCGGAAGGAACGTTTGCGAAACCCCGCTAAAACATGCAATCCCCCCCCCCCCCCCCTCGACACCGAAAAACGTAAACTACGCTGTTACCAAGGGACGTAAGTACGCGCGATAACTATTAACGACGCGGCAATCGGTTTGGAGGAAAGTCTGAATGAACGACGTCTCTCGAACCAACGGTGCTCGTAAAAAAAATGCGTTCCCTTCGCCAGCCGATGCGAGGTAACACACGGCAACACCGCCCCACTGCACAGGCATTTGCGTCTTTTTTTTTTTTTTCGCGTAACGACACTTGTGAATCGATTCAATCAATACGCAAGTGACCTGCTATATTTGGTCACGTAGAAAGAGATGCTTTTTACGTGGGGAGCGTGAACTGTAAGCGTAGAACACATCGGTAGGCTAGCGAAAGTCGGCCGACCTCTGACAGAGCGCCCAGTTTTGGGAAAGAACAGCGAAAAGCGCGGTCCTACTTGAGACAGTCGGCACCTCGCAGCAAAGACGGCCGGTGTGTTGCGCTTCGACATGCAAACCTCTTTCACACCCGCGTTAACTAGAGACAGACGAGAAACAAATAGCAAAAACAGTAAAACCTGGCTTCGTGAACCGGTGCCGGAGCCAGCATGGTGGAAGTTTGATGACCGCACTGTGAATCTTCACCCGGCGCGGCGCAGCACCACGGGCTCTCGCAGCGCGGGAGGCGCGCGATGGAAATGAAAGTCGACGTAGACGAAAACAAAGATGCCACGAGCGCCAATGCCGGCTTTTTTTTTTTTCCAGCGGGCACAAGCTGAGAAAGAAGACGAAGACGCTTGTTGACGCGCAGGTTTCGCGTGCTCTTCGTCTTCGCGGAAGCACGCGCACACCAAGAATGGATCGCGCCACGGGCAACTTGAACCGTAACGATTACCAGTGCGAACGACATATGCCACTGCCTCGTACATCCGAAGTTAGTCGTAGGCGACGAAAATTTCCTTTCCTTCGACCACTTCGGCAAAAAAACTGCCTAATTTAGGCTTACTCACGGTAGCGCACCTTTCGTTTCGCCGCTACGCCGAACAAGCGCAGTGCCCGCGCGGCAGGGAAACAGGCACGCGATCTTTCGGACCTGAACTAGCATTCGGGTGTCGCTGTTCGCCGAAGTGACCACAGCGAGCCGCTTCTAACACCGAAGCGCGCATCGGGCCGCAAAAGTGTCACGAAAAAAACTTCGCACCGACAACGATGACGTAGCTGCGAACTTTTTCTTCGCCGCTTCTCCGTCAACTACGCGAAGCTGCTTCCAACGACATTCAAGCACGCGACAAGAACGAGCGGGCACTTCGAAAACCACGACGTTACCAGCGAGACCACAGCAAAAGTGTGCGCTTAAAAACGTCGCAAGTTGGTAAAATGCCTAGGCCTACCGCTTCTTGTCAGATGCATCGGAGCGACCCTTGAGCTTCGACTTGGGACCTTTTGAACGCTTCTTTTTTGCCTGGATGGCCATGACTGCGTCGGAAAGAAAGTGGTGTTTTGAACGTCTCGTCTTTGCAACCATGAACGGTTCGCAAGACCGGAGCTCCGAGTAAGCGGTCAAGTTTTAAAAAATACTATTCTCCTACCTTTTCGATTCACATCGGCATTCATCTTGCAGCGGGGGCACACACAACCACATTCGAGTCAAGGATCGTCTTTGATCTTCATATTCGCAACAGTGGTTGCAGAGTACGCTAGCGATAGGTTATTAAAATAAGCGTTCCTTTTTTAAAGATAAAAATACGTTAAAACTTTTTAAAAAGGGTTTTTAGGGCATAAATAAAAATATTGTTTAAGATCAATAAGTGCTATTTTAATTTTGCAGTATTGCCTTTAACAACAAATGGCAATCTCAGAGGCTCAGTTCGCTCGCGTGGCTTTTGTGATTGGCAACCCACACAAACTGCAGAGGCCACGTTGGGCAGTGAGCTCACGCGCGAATTCACCTAAGGGTGGTAGCACCATCTAAGATGACGAACCAACGTAAAAAAAGTAAAATGTATGGGACGGACGGCGGCCACTTCGAACTTTCACTGCGAGTGCTCTGGAGTGACAACGTTAAAATAAGCATCACTATAAAATGAAGAGAGACAAAATGTACCGATTTTTCCACGAACAACGCGGACAGCTGGAATACGCGATTGAAAACGTGGCGTTGTCACTGTCTGGAAACGGTGACCTGATCCATGCAAACAAATTTACACGAGTAGATCAGACCAAATCAGACATTGCATATCTGTACGATCGAGATGAGCGACTGGGATGAGATATTACCAACGAAATCACCAACAACACGAACACATTACACTCGTTTACTACACGAAGCCTAACGAGCAGACAACAGAAAAGCTCGGCAGAAATAAAGGGGTGCAGGATAAACGGAACCATCTGACGTACACAGAGATAAGTTCTAATACAGACCCCTGTAAGGCATCTTGTTCCTGCGGAAGCTGTGATAACGGTCATCGGTGTGAGTATTCAACCATGAAATCGTCATTCGTGGCTTCACAACACCACACAAGCTGGAGACTCCCTTCGAAGTAGCTGTTGGCACGGCCAATTAAAACAACGCATTGTTTAATTAGTTCTTGCAGGACATCAATAAACGTTATTCTATCCGTCCATTGTTTTATTAGTCGTGCCAAAAAATGTGTTGTTTAATAAATTGCGACAAATGTGGATTTTATAAGATTGGCTAATGATGATAACAAAAAGAGGAAGAATCGGACAAAGTCGTCAAACACGGGCGATGCTTTACATGCGAACGATCGACTTAAAAGGTGGTCGATCATGTCACAAGTGACGTCGGAAAGGCTCACCTCTCCGGCGAAGGTCCTTCAGCTGCGGCCTTGCTGGAGAACGTTCGATTCCCCATGAAGTCTACTTTGAAAGCGAGACCGTACTTTTTGGAATCCCCTCAGGGCTGACCTCATAAAAAAGTGTAGTCTGCTTGTCACAAATGATGATGATGATGATGATGTGTGGTACCAACGCCTTCTAGATTTCTCGTGTCTGCCGAATGAGCGCGAAACGCCAGTCTTCTATGGCGGCGCTGCCTACGTAGGGGTAAGGTCTTTGTACTTTGCCTTTGAGATTGGCAACTTTGACGTTTGTTACTAATTTTAAAGGATGCCTTGTATTAAAAAGTTGCTTGCTGAATGACGGCGTCATTTACGTATAGTTATTTATAATTACGTTTACGCCTTTTAAAACTTTTTACGTTATTTTTGTTGCATTTTTGCTGCAAAGTTGCCGAGTCCCTTAACTCCACATTCTGCTCAGTATTCACCCGCGAGCCAGACGACGGCCCTGTGTCCCTTTCCACTAAATTGCACTCCATCATGCCCAGCATTACATTCCAACCACACGGCATCTCAAACGTCATTGACTCCCTGAAGCTATCTTCGGCCTCAGGCGTTGACGGCATAAATGCAAAAATTCTTAAAAACACCAAACACCTCTCTAGCATCATTCTTAGCCATATCTTCCAGCAGTCCCTCTCAACAGGTTTTGTTCCCCAAGATTGGAAAATAGGAAAAGTGGTACCTGTCCCCAAGAAAGCCTCAGATAACGCGTTTCGCCCAATCTCTCTTACATGTGTTTGCTCTAAAATAATGGAACATATCATTTACACGCACATAGCTAGCTTTCTGAAATCCGCAAAGTTCTTTCATCCCAATCAACATGGCTTCCAAAAAGGTCTCTCCTGCGACACTCAATTGGCACTCTTCCTAAGTGACATTAATTCTAAATTAGACATTAACGTCCCCGTCGATGCTATGTTCATAGATTTCGAGAAGGCCTTCGACAAAGTTCCCCACAGGCGTTTGCTATCTAAACTTTCGCATTTAAACCTTGATGAACATGTATTTGCATGGCTTTCAAATTTTTTAACTAACCGACAGCAGTTTGTCTACGCTAACAACAGTTCTTCATCCTTATCTCCTGTCCTATCAGGTGTTCCTCAAGGGACGGTCCTCGGGCCCTTACTTTTTCTCATATACATCAACGACCTACCAGACAATATTCTTCAAGCATTCGGTTGTTCGCGGACGACTGCGTCATTTATCGCCCCATTATCGATCCCAGTGATAACGCAGCACTCCAGCAAGACCTAAGGAAGATAGACGAATGGTGCAACAAATGGCTCATGGTGCTAAACGTTCACAAAACATCCATCATGTCATTCCACAGGCGTCACTCCTATTCCACGTACAAATATTTCTTAAGTGGCTCCGCTATATTTCCTGTCTTGTCCACTAAATATCTAGGTCTTCTTATTTCTCATGACCTTACATGGTCATCCCACATAAATCGCATTACCAGTGACGCGAATCGCGCGCTGGGCTTCCTCCGACGTAACATTAACCTGGCTCCGACCACAGTTAAATTATTGGCCTACGAACGCTTGTTCGCCGAAAGCTGGAATTCGCATGTGCAGTCTGGGACTTACCACAAGCTAACTCAAGTACCATCCTTGAATCCGTTCAGAACCGTGCGGCCAGATTCATCTTCTCCGATTATTCATACCACACAAGCGTAACACTTCTTAAACGTAAAGCTAAATTGCCAAGTCTCAAAACACGACGTACAGTAGCACGATTTTGCCTCTTCCACAAATTCTACAACTCGTTATCATGCGAAAGCCTCCACATAAAAACTGCTCACCACCAATCGAACCGCCTCAACCACCCAAAAGCAGTATACCCACCTCGTGCACGCACGACCGCCTATCTAAATTCATTTCCTGTTCTGACAGCCATCGAATGGAACAGCCTTCCTGAAAGTGTCGTCACCAAAACAAACCCGACTCAGTTCAAAGCTGCCGTTGAAAAATTTATGTACTGATTATTTTTGTGTCATGTATGCGATTATCCTTAGTGGTGTTATCTGCTTCGCTGGTTGGCATTGTATGCTTTTTATGCTTCGGTTGTATGCTTCGTTGGTTGGCATTGTATGCTTTTTATTAACAGAGCGTGCTTGATACCCTTTCGTGATACGCTCGTGCAGTTTTTGTTTTCTTTTTTCTATGTTTGTTGATCAGTTGTGTAATTTTCGTGCTTCAACACCCCTCATGTAAAACCCCACTCATTGGGGTCTTTGAGGTACCTGTAAATAAATAAATATGAGCTCCAAAAACGTAAAAACCTATTTGAAGACACCCCCTACTTGAGTGGCGCCACCACCGTAGTTCCGATGACCGCCGATAATCCGGCAGGCACAGGAGATCTAGGAGGCGTTGGTGGTACGTACCTGCCCCTTGTGGTGAACTTACGTCCACCGATTAGAGCACGAACGCAAATGAGGTAGAAAGGCTCGAATAATTCGCACTATACACGTGTTTCTAGAGATATTGCTATCGAAGTTCACGCAGATTGCACATGCAACTTCTTGTACAGTCTGCGTGAACAGACTCGCATAATGCGACAGTGTACCGGGGGTTTAGCGTGGAGAGCAGTGACGTAGCCACCCGTGCCCCCCTCCCCACCCCCAAAATGTAATCATCATACCTGCCTGCCGGCCCCAACATCAGATAAAAAATTGCCCCCCCCCACCCACCCCAATTTTTTTTCAGGCCGACAAATTTGTTTAGTTGTCCTCCCAAGCAGCTAAAGGTTCGAACTGAAAGAGCACTAGGCTGTACTTGTCCTTATTTTACCGCTCGCGGCCTAGATCATACGATCCTCACTAGGAGCAGGAAATATTTTTCTATTTTTTTATTTGCGTCTTTCGTTTGTTTGGTCGCGGACAAGATGATTTTTCTTTCACAACCAACGACGCCAATGTAGACACCAGAACAGATCTGCGGGAACCAGCTAAAAAATAATAATAAAACACAGGCAGGTGCCTTACAAATTGGTGTGCATACTTCGTATCAACAGAGTTTTGTATCCACAGGTCGGGATTCACAGAACGTTCAGGGAGGTACAAATGTCGAAGAGCCTGTCCTTTCTGGTCCCTATCTGAATGGGAAGCCAAGGTAGTGACTAGTACACTGTGGTATGTGGATTGGTTCTCGCTCGTTCAGGCGTCAGATGCTCACCGCGGTTGTGCACTCTAACAGTGGCCATTATAATAAGCGGCCTAGGAACTGTGACTTCCCTCCTTCCTCTTTTAAGTCGCGGGAGATACGCCAAACGTGTTTTGTTTGAATGGCGTGGTAGGCAAGCCTGTAGTCCCGTTAGAGACCCTAGTCCCGTCGCGGGCGTACGACGCCCGGTAGTAATTTTCTGGCCTGTCAGTCAACATGCACAGGGGAAGTGGGCAAATGGTTTCTGAGAAACCCGAAAGAAGAAAGTGTTCAACAACCCCTCCATAATTCTCTAGCCACATATCAATTAATTAATGCTCACACGAAAAGAGGAGGGAGAATTTACTACATGATGAAAGGCAATATGAAAACGGAAGCGGTCGGTCTAGAGTCAGCCGTCTCAAGGAAACTGAGAGCCACGTAAGTACACAGTGCAATCAATGCAGCTAAAACTCCGAGGTGGCGGGAAATTTCTGAAGCCTTTGCCGTCCAGAATGCGCGTACTGTGTCACGTGTGGCGTGCCATGCACTTTTCCAGACCGCGACACAGCTCTCGATATGTATCAACTCATAAATGAAATACATGTGGGGTTGCTGATGACCTGATAGCTGGCGCTCACCCACAGAGGGCGAACCACGTTGGTGCGAACCAAGACATATCGGGCCAAATACGAAGGGGTAGACACAGTATGTAGTGCGTGTGGAAAGGAAGAAGAAACTGCCGAACACTTGATAATGTTCTGTAAAGGGCTTCACCCTATAGTTCAGGTTGATGGCGCAGAGTTTTTCGAAGCACTGGGGTTTAGGGACAGGGAGGGCAAAATAGACTTTAAGCGGGTAGATTTAACTAGAAGGAGGTTATCTAATTGGTGGCTAAAGTCAAAACACGAGTGAAAATTAAACCCTTCACTGCAAAGAACGAATCCTCAACCTCACTATTCAAAGGGGGAAAAAAAGATAAATCTGATGGTTAGTTCACTAAGTACTACTGCTAGGTGGCGATAGCCACCGCCCGATCTAAAGGGTACAGCCACATCCATCCACCCATTCGATGGGCCAAGAACCAGGCGGCACACGGAGGAAGGACTTTCTTCGTGGGGCGGCAGGATACTAAAATGAAATTAAAGCCAATCTGGAAAGTTAGTTTAGAGATAATACTCCTAATAAACAAAAATGTTTGCTGAGCAAGTGGTCAAACCATCTCTTGTTTTCGACAGACATCGCTATGAATTACAAACTAAGGATCTGAAACGGTTAGGGTTCACTAGCACGGTATTCTTTTAATTGCGTTGATGTAATCAAACTCAGAGGAGCATATATCCCTGTGGCAGTAACCAAATGAAATGCCGCCAAGTGATAAAAGTACTGGTAGATTTACTTGTATTCCTAGCTTTTGTAATGGGACTACTAAAAATCTTTTTCTCTTTGAGTTACGATAACAAAATAAAAATAAATTTTCAATTGTTGGGGTTGCTATAGTCGTCCCCGGCTATGTTTTTTTTTCCTAAATTTAAATAATGCTGAACACTGTTGTTATCTACTTTTCCACGGGTCAAGCACTGGGATCAAGCATTGGCTATCAAACGTTGGCCTGACGTAAATAGTGAATGGAAAGTCGGGGGTGCGACACCACGTTGCTCGGTGTTATGATTATTTGTCCATACTAGTGGTGAAAGCTTCTCTTACTGTAAAAGAAAATGCGTCGACTATGAAGATAGTACCATTTCTGTGAAGATGCCACCTCGCATCTAACGTTTGTATCTGCCGCGAAAACACATGGCCCATATCACTACAGAGCGATCTTTCATAATGTTTTTTTATAACGGTAGAGTACGCTACAAAGCAACTTACGTCACCAGTGCATCTCATCAAAAGTGGCAACTAATAAATTCTTGTTATAAACTTTGATTTATAACTATTTTAATTGGTTGTATAAAGTTTTTTTTTAAGTGCCTAGGACACGCAGTAGATGCGTGCGCCGCATGCATTGGACCATTTTTCCTCGGTTGTACAAGCCTTGATCGGGATTGCATTACCTGTTTTGGCACAGCAGAGGAGTGCGTGCTGACTTTTGAGGTGAAGTTGGAGCAAGCGTGAATCATTCGCTTGCCGTCCTTCGTACACGTCGCCCAACGTGAGTCCCATATCCACTTTACCTCAGTCTCCTTGTCTAGTCATTCTTCTACATCTGAGCTCCCGCACCACTGCTGACATCCCACCGTCCATTGTTGTGCCGCATTCGCGACTACTGTTTACTTCACCCCCAAGTTGTACGGTTCGTAATTACTGAAACTTCCGCGCGTTTGCATCATGAAGCTTCATATTTACTTGCGCACAAGGGGGCGGCAAAGAGTACACAAAAAGTAACAGTAACAACTGTCGGATCCGCACTTGGGGGGCTAGTGGACATTTTCTTCGATGCGTCGTCATTTTTTTCCCCATTTTGACCGACAAGCCGGTCACCCTGGGTCATGAAGTTTTTCCTTCTAGCCGCATTTTTATTTCGTTGACACTGCCTCAATCCCACCTCGGTGCCTCTGACGACGCGTTTCAGCTATGATAGGGACTCTTAAACGAGGCTTTCATTAGTTGATCATCGCTAATCGTTTGTGTCGAGGTTAGGTAAGGGGGTGCGGCTCTGATCGCCTCGCGATGCGGTGCTACTTTATGCCTGGTGTCTGCGATTGCGGGAAAGAGCTCAGGGTTAACTGTAAACGTACTTTCTTTTTGTTTTCAGTGTACGCAAGAACAATGAGTTTCCAGTGGACAATCGTCGCCGCCTTTTTGTACGCGGAAATAGCCATCGTTTTACTTCTCATGATCCCCTTCATCTCGCCCAGAACGTGAGTTGCGCTCTGCTTGCGATGCCCTCGCATGGCCCGAGCCGTAATACATGCTCGGAATTTTTTTTACTGTGCTTTGCCGGTGTGCGACGTCTCCTGACCTCTCGCGCGGTGCGCCGACTGATTTGCCTACGCCCGTTTGACTTTTTTCTCTTTTCTCCGTTTATGTGGCAAGATGGAACAAGTTGTTCAAGTCTCGGTTCCTCAAAAGCCTTGGTGCCCAAGCGGATATTTACTTCACAGTTATGATCGTTGTTCTGGTCCTGTTCTTTTTCGGTGAGTGCTTACTTTAATCATTACACGAAAAAAAAAATCAAACACTGCGATGAGCCAATGAAACGAACTCTTGCGCCTAGATTGCTGTAATGATCACATATCTAAAAATCTTTGCTGTGCAGCTGTACATGCTGATTTGGGTATTGTTATGGTGACAGCACCTTTAGTGCAAGTAGTTCCACTATTGCATCACTTGTGCGGTTTAATGTGACGTCACGAAAACAATGAAGTGGTTGCTGCAATCAATGCTTGTTGTGGTAGCTAGCAATGATTGCTATTCATTACAGCACTTAAACAAATAGTCTATACTTCAGACATTTTAATTTGTTGCTCACTTATCTCCGAGAGCTCTTCGATCAAATGCTGCTACGAATGTGTTCAAACCATCTGTGCATTGTGTCGTGCAGTGTGCAGTGCAATTGCCCGTAGCAACGATTCTGTGAGCCCACCTCGGTCGTTGTGTACGCTCGTTAATTGACGGTGCCAGAGCTTGGCAGTGTCCGTTCAGTGTCGTGAGCTGCTAGCTACTGCTCAAAACTAAAAGGCTGCTTTGACCGAGGCTGACACTTTCCGTAACAAAGTGGCACGCTGTCGTTGAGGTTGAAACGGCCCTTTTGTCATTATCTTGACCTCCAAAAGTGGCTTTAGACTTGTACAAGTTGACTGATATTTCTAATAATTTAAGGATTAAGTGACATGCCCAGTTTACGGACACAAAGTAGGAACACTTAGCTTAAATTCACAAGTAAAGAAAACAACAACAAAACTCCGAGATCATTTTCTCGTGTCACTTTCCTGCGAGGATATAATCACTTATGAGAGATTTCATCCAATATGGCATTGAATATCTCGGCATTTTTTTGACGAGAATGTCGCTTGCAGAATGTCAGATGCCCTGTCCCGGTAAAATGCCAAGAACGCTGTTAGTCAGACTATGCTAATGTGTCCACCATTGTTGCATTATTGTGCCTGCATTACTATTGTGCTTGTGAACATGAAAGAAGTTATAACATCATCTTGTAGGCCCACTGTTGTCAATTCATGTTAACAATGTTGTTCTTGTTAAACACTGCACAGACGCCGAGAACTGCTTTCTGTTTGTTGCAGACTCTGTCCGGGAGATGCGCAAGTATGGCGCCCACCGCGAGGAAGCGCAGTCAGAGTACCACCACCATGGCAACCTTGACGTGGAGATGCAGCAGAGCATGAAGATGTTTCGAGCCCAGCGAAACTTCTACATAGCTGGCTTCGCCCTCTTCCTGTGGCTGTGAGTTGCCTCGGTTTTCATCATTCAGTTATTTTGACAAGCGTGCCTGTGACGTGTTTGTCAGTGCCTGCAAACCTTCGTTCGTTCGTAGTGTTAGATATCTCTGGCCTGGCTCTGACTTGTCTTGAGGGGTGTGTAGTCAGTTCGTCTTAGTATAGCAAACGTTCTCAGATGCACAATATTTACAAACATTACCTTTAAGGTGCCCCTCATCGTATTGTGGTTTTGCTATTTGAAACCACACCAATTATTACTTGATAAGTACATTTTACGTATTTAATGACATCTCACTGGCAGGACAAGCACGTGGTAGCGCTGGCAAAGCGTACTTTTAAGGTACTTTTTCAGTCCTGCCTCTGTTGTGTTGAATATGGCCTACTTGTCGTACAGGGTAATCCGAAGGCTCGTGACACTGATCAGCGCACAGGCTGTCCTCCTTGCTGTCAACGAAGCATCCATGAAGCAAGCGCAGTCCGCCACTGAAGCTGCCCAGAACCTCCTCAAGGTTTGTCGCTCTAATCTTGCATGATGTCTGAACACTGCACAACGCATTACAGTGATTTTGCCTTGACTGCTGGATAGTCTGCACTAAAGTTCGTATTCACTGAATAATCTTTATAAGTTCAAATCGCCTCTGGCCTTGAAGAAAATCGTGATAAACGTGGATAATATTCCTATTGAAATCACGTTGATTTATGCGGTCAAGTTTTAGGCCACCTTTAGCGTTACGGAAGTTAGTTATTATTTTCTTTTCTCAAGACGTTAGAATGTCGTTGGAGTTTTTCAATTAAGAATTGTGATGTGTTTCGCTATGCTTGTTATTGAATGTCCTTCTTAGTGTGGTTGGATGGCAGTAGAATACTTTTTCTTACAAAAGGTTACCATTAGCGTGCAACATTCTCCTTCCCGAAATCATGCAAAGTGGTACACTTCTGTGTTGACAATACATGGTAGCAGTTCCGCGGCTTTTCTGCTGCCGAGTGAGTTGTTGGGCGAGTTCATTCGCAAAATGTGGCAGCCGCGTTTGATGGCAGGGAATCACAGAAATGCTTGTGTAATTTAATCTTGGTGCTCGTTAAAAGTACCATGAACTGACAAAATTGATACAGAGGTCACCATTGTTGTCTTATAGCCTACTCATTGGTTTGAGACATCGAATAACGTAATTTCATTTAATTTGATAATCACTTAGTTAAGGTGTTGAATTTTTCTCTTTGCTCACAGCACTAATGCCATTCCAATTTACTGCAAAGTAGTATATAGTGTTGTTAGTTGTCCCGTTGTATGCTATTTGATGTTGATAATGCTATTGTAATTTATTTCTTCATAATTATTGCTAATGTGCAGTGACCTTTCTGAGCAGTACTTGCATTCTTTGGACACGCTTCGCAGGATGTGTTCGAATATATATTGCACGCCAAGCTGTTTTAAATATTTATATAACATTGCTGAACGATTAGACATCATTTAAGTTTTAAACATTGAGCATGGCTCTGTATTGGTTGCGTTGCTTTCTTTTCATTTTTCAGCTGCGAAGTGACGTTTCTGCAGTAAGTAGACACAGACGTGTTTGTTTTGCTCTCTCATTTGGCCACGGTAGTTATAGAAATCTGGTAGTTTAAGGTTAGAATGTTTCATTCCCGCTCATAGAAGTGTCATTTCAAGGGGCACAAAAGTGCAACAGTTAAACGAGATTATTGAGAACTATTATGTTACTCATTTTAGTGATCCAAGGTTTATTGTCCGAACGGAAAAACAAAGAGCTAGGTTTTCAATTTCTTGCCAGAAACTCTCAGGGTCTGAATGCAAATGCGTCGTACCAATTTTTAATTATTTATTTATGACCTTATCTCTGCAACAAATTTTTGTGGAATATGCTATGCTATGTCTCTTGCTGCCCGAAAATACCCTCTATTTATTATCCGGAATAAAGAATTGTGCAGGCTGCAGCCGAAGCTGCCAGCGGGAACTTTATGGCGGCGGTGCCGCCTGTATTTGGTCTTTGTGCATTGTTTGGCTTGCCTGGCGTTTTCTCATGGCTTTTGGCACTAATGCGGTACTAATACAGGCGAAAGTGCTTCTCTTTAAAAGGTCGATCTATAAAATTTGCTGTGGAAACTTTTGTTAAAATACCAACACTGCTACCATACGACATACTTCAGGTGAAGTGCCCTGTTGTCTTTAAAGCAGTGGAGTTGTACCTAGCAAGTGTGCTCGAGAATGCTTGTCAGTTGGTATTCTTTGACTTGAGGGAGTCATGGCAGTGTTTTAACTGATGGCGATCCTTCTACACTGGGTTTTTTCATGTCATTTCCTTACGTCTAAAGGTTGGGTTTAATCACAAGATGGTATCGTCACGACAGTGATCAATGAGAAGTTATAATTCAATATGCAATGCATGAAGCCTCATATGGACTGCATCTAGTGGAGATGTTGCGAGAAAGACCATTCCCAAGTTTTTATTGTTCTCGAGAAAGATAATGAAATGAGGAAACTTTTTAGCGTGGGCATGTGGCTGAAAAACTTGCGGCATCTCGAGAAACTTGGCTTTTTTTTTTCGGGATACCCACCTTGTGAAGCTTTTTATATTGAATGTACACTTGCAGGGAAAAAAAGGGGAGGGAAAATGTGTATGGGGAGGTTAAATTCAGTTTTAACCCCCGGGTACGGGTCATTGCTTGCCTGAAATGTGCACTTGCATTCCCAACACAGGTTTTTTATCTTTTTTTCTGTGCTTCTTCACTGCAGAAGAGCGACAACACGAAGCAGAACGAGGGCAACAGCAAGACCGAAACCCTGGAGAGAGACATCAGAGAGCTGAAGACTGAGCTTGAAAAGGCCCAAAAAGGTGACTTGTTGCAAACTTTTTTTTTCTCTTTCTAAAGACATGTCTCTCGAACCGACCTCATTGCTGCGCGCACCTTCACGGTCCTGTGCGCTGAATCGTAACGGTTGCTGTTTTCACTACTGTAGAAGTGGCCCACCTGACCAAGGACAGGGATGCCCTGAAGCTGCAAGCTGAGAACTTGAGCAAGGAGTACGACAGGCTGTGCGAGGAGCACTCGAAGGCACAGGTATGGAAGAGTGCTGTGCTAGGTACACAGTTTGAATCTCCCCGTTAGTTACGACATACCAGTGTGTTACTCAGTCGTTCATACTTTAAAAAAGTAGTGCCAAAGACAACACAAGAGGGAACAGGAAGACCTCACAAGCACTAACTTCTATCTCAAATATGAATGCAAGTATGTTTCAAGTGTGAACTCCAAGAAACTAGCCCAACTTTCAGTCCTTACTTTGGCATGTTTAATGGCAAAACTTTTGATCACATGCACCCACCAAAGGGCATGCTGTGCTTCCGTTTTACATCCTTAGTCTGCAAGGCCTGTGTCGCCTATACATTTGCAAACAGCCTCTTGTATCTGTTAACTTCGACAGAGTGCTCCAAGGTTATCTGAAGTTATGGGACATTGATTCCCCTTTTTGTATGCAACTTTTTATTCCCAGGCATAGTGCTATTCGAGATACCGTATTTACTCGCGTAGTGAACCCACTCGCATAATAAACCAACCCACCCCCCACCTTGGTTCTTGAAAAAAGAAAAATTTTTTGCAATGTATCTGTTCATTTCATTTTGGTATGATAGTCAGTGCCGATGATGATGGAAGCAACTTCGAATCAAGCCATTATATCGCAAAATAATGACTAAATAAAAGTCAGAACATAGGTCTACAGCCATGCTAAACAGTTGTGAGCAATGCAAACTCGGACGACTTGAATCAAAATTTAAAAGTCGTTCCTTTTCAAGCAGAGCGCGACGCAAGTACAGCAGCAAAAAAAAAAAACCAAAAAAACAAAGCAAACAACGAAGAAAGAACATCGCCTCCGAGATGGCGGGCGTGTGGCTAAAAACACTCCACCTGCCAGTCATCTCGGAAGCTATGCAAAGCGCAACCGCGCCGACGGCATGCCGTGCAGCCGTTACGTTTGTGTGCAGTCATTCGACGCTGGCTTTTTGTAGTTTTCTTTGTCGTCGTGAACTTAGTTGGCACGCCTGATGAGTATTGCGCTCGGCAGGTACGCTATCTACACGGCTGGTTTTAAACTTAAAAGTTGGTCGAGCATGCACGGGAGCATGGGAACCGACAGGCTGGGCGACACTCTGGCGTCAATCCATGCATTTGTTACGGGAAAAGACAAGAAAGAGCTGCAGGCTACAAGAACTATTTTCCGCGCACTTCGCGTAACAAGATCATCATGTGAAATGTTCGCTGTTATAACTCCCGTGACTTTTTTCTCCCGGGTAATGAAACCGCCTCCCCAAATTGGCATCAACTGTTCTGAAAAAAAAAAAAAAAGAAAAAAGGTGGGTTCGTTAAGCTAGTAAATACGGTATGTTATTTGTCACTGTAACTTCATTTTCCTTTTGTTGTCACTGTTCCCTTGTATGACTGTTCTTGCCTTCTCGTTTGTAGGCTGCAGGTGGAGAGCCCACAAGCAAGAAAGACAACTAGGAATATTGCAATTCATCCTCTGAGCCAGTGTTGCTGCTGCTTTGATCTTTTCCATTTTCCTTGCGCCACAGTTGTGCCTCTCTGATACAGCGAGAGCACATTGCAAAGTGAACATTGGAAAGTGGTTGTTTGTGTATGTGATGTGATATTTTAACTGCTAAGATTGTGTGCTGAATGAAAGGGTGTGGTTTTTTGTGTGTTTTTTTTAATCAATTGCACATTGTACTCTGCTGCACTTGCAGGGAGTGTTCAGTTACCTGATTAATGAATGGTACTGTTCTTTAATACTATTCTCTAAATGGGAGGTAACAATACATGTTTATTTTCCCGGTGTCACTATAACCATCGGGTGTGTATAAAAGTGCCTGGCGTATCGTAGGACTACTTATGCCCATGTTTTCAGACATTGAACCGATTTCTGGTTCCGTTGGTTTGCATATGCACAAAACAAACGCACACGGTCTACACTGTATGAGTGCATGTTCCTCAAATGTCATGAAATAAAAAATTTCCTCTGTACAATTCTGCCCAGTGTGAGATTGCTTCCTAGTATTTCAGAGTTTACAGAGCGGCCACCACATATCAACCTAGTGGGGCTCACTTCAGGTGGAAGAAACTCTCGATATAAGCAACTACATTCCTTGACCCAAGGCCGGTGCTATCTTTGCAATTCCTTTTTCTTTGGATAGGCCATGCTTTAGAAAGCACTATCAGTGGTGTGTAGTTGAAAATGTTTTTACATTGAAAGTGTTCTACACTGCTAGGTTATGTCTGCTGTTTTTCTACTTGCATAAGGCTGACTGCACCCTAAAAAAAAATATCGAGTAAAAAGGGTGTCTTTTTGTCCCACAACAATAATTGTCATCAGGCTTGCGTGCACTTCCTTTCTTGAAAACTCGCATGCACTGGCCACTTTCCTATCGAGAATGCAATGTAACCCTGACAGTGTGCATGTCTATCATGACCGGAATGTACCGGGCGCGGGGCAATAGCGCAAGGATGGAACGCAATATAGATGACGATTATTGTTGTGGGACAGAAAGACGGCCTTTTTACTCGCTCTTTTTTTAGTATGGTTACTGATGATGTTCGGTATATCTGCGAAAAAACTAGTGGAAAGGATAGGCTATGCAGCACTTGTAAAGTTACAACTGTTTCGACACCTTCCCTGTTTTCATTATACTAAATGGCCCATGCATGGCACTTGTGCACTCTTCAGACGATTCTGGGCATGTAGAAAAATATTTTGGTAATTTGAAGTTTCAAAAAATGAAAAATATCTTCAAAATAAGTGGGCTTCAGAACTGACAAAAAAGAGTGATGGTGCAAGAAATTTTGAAAGCAATCGGTTGAACTAAGGTGTCGTTAAAATTGTAGATAAGGTAGTTGATGCTGTGTCCAGAGAAAAATATGGTTGTGTCATCTGCATATATAGTAAACATGACATTCTTATTCATGTTACTGATGTCATTAATGTAAAGATTGAAGAGCAAAGGTTTCACAACACCACCCTGTGGAACACTACAAAGCAGTGGCCGAATTTGGGATCACGAGCTATTTATTTCAACTTGTCGCCGACGAGACAGGTATAACCACAGTAAATTTAACCTACAATCACGAATACCATAAATATCTAACTTGCTTAGCAAGACCTCATGATTCACCAAAAATTCTTGGAAAAACGAAAAAAGAACTATTTACTATTTTCTTGCTTTACAATTTCTTTTAGGTATATTATTTCTGGTGAACAATGCTAATGCTATTTATCAGTTCTTCGGCCGGAACCCAAATTGATGTGGTGTTAATATATTGTAGCTTTCAAAAAAATTGGGAAGTCTACAATAAGTTTCTGAAGAGGTTTTAAAGAAATGGGAAATATAGACGCAGGACGGTGATTTCCTGATTCATTCTGATTACATTTGAAGATTCCCAGAAAAAATTGAGTAGTGATTGCATATGGAACACCATTGTTAAAAAGTTGGAGTACTGCGTGTGCCCAGTCCAGGCTGCCTGCCTGCTGCAGCGTGATGCGCATCCGCATTGAGATCCCCTCGGTAGTTGCGGCCCAGCACCAGAAGATATTCACCAGTGTCTCGTAGGTGTTTCATGGCTCAGTGTCTCCTGGGCCCCTACGTTTGTCCACACGTCCTAGATGCGGTCGGTGGTTGCGGCCCAGCACCAGAAGATATTCACCAGTGTCTCGTAGGTGTTTAATGGCTCAGTGTCTCCTGGGCCCCTACGTTAGTCCACACGTCTTAGATGCGGGCAGGTGTCAACAGCAGGGCAAACCCCGAATGCTCTTGGTACTCGCTGATAATGGCTCCCAGCTTTTTCTGTGTGATGTAACCTTTCTTGGAGAAACCCAAGAAAGCCGCAACGAAGATCAGCTGAGGCCCTACTTCGATGACGCTTGACTGAGCCACACTGAGCAGGGCGTCCAGAAGAGCAAAAATCTGCATGGTGGTCGTTGCCTCAAAAACGGCCATGTTCCTCAGGTCCGCTCTCGTGGCAGGAAGCCAAGTAATGGCATGCAGCGCACCGCCTTCTGCCTTCCACTCCTCCCATTTCTCCTCTGTCAAGTTCACAAAGTACCTTTTGCTTGCCTCTTTGCGTAGAAAATACACCGAATTGATGCACACCTGAGTCAAGGCATCAGCCGGCAAGAGGCGTTCAGGGAGGTTGGGGGCAAAGGCATTGGCCACGGCCAGCGTCACTGTGCTTGACTCCACGTCTTGCACTTCTTGGCGCCAGGCATCTCTCCCCGCTTTTCACGATCGAATGGGCTCGCAGGCCCTATAAGCCTTCAGGGAAGTTGGTGCAATTGCTGTACAGCCTGTCCAGCAAGGTAACTCGACATATTCCAGGAAAGGCAGCCCGTCGGCTGGCCGTAGTGTCCCAGCGGGTCAGGCCAGGTAGCCCGGCAAGAATCTGGTCTTCGTTCGCCATTTTAGGGCATCGAAGAGCAACATGCTGACGATAAGCACGAAAGAAAAGCAGGTCAAACTCATTCGCAGTAGCGCAGCAGTGGTGGCGTGAGCAGTGGAGTCAGAATGGCAAGGCTCTGTTTGGCATTGCATAAACTGTTGTCAGATTTGGAAAGTCGGTGTTGCCAGACTGCCATCAAATCTGGCAGATAAATTTCCCCCTGTAATTGTGACTTCAACGTGAGGGTTTTGTGTCTTTCGCGAGTGCGTGAGTGACGTTGGCTGTTTCAATTAACGAAATAAACGTAAAATGCACGTTGCAGAAGTCGGGATGCATTCTCTTGCTGTGTGAACTGCTGTGCAATTAAAAGATCGTGTCCGAGTATTAAAGACGATGCGTATGAATGAGTACACGCTCATGGGGAAGTTAATTTGAGCCGCGTTTGAATATACCTCGACTCGTGTCGCCGAAGCACGGAATATCTCCGTAGCTGTGCGTACGTAGTCGACTGCACACAACGACGCATTTTCTGGGGAAACTGAATGTGGTCGCACCAAACAGTAGTCCTGTAGTCCCCAAGGGACAGATTGTGTCTCGCTGAGCCGTAGCGCAGAACACCTACCAGGGTACGTTTGCTTTGCATGTAGTGGTCGAAGTTACCGCACCGAAGGGTGGCCCCTATGTTGGGTCTCCCTGGCTTGCAGTGGCGTAACGAAAAAGGGGGAGGGGTTCGACCCCCTTCCGAAATTTTTCGTCCCCCCCCTGCAAACTACTGAACTTATTTCATTTTTTTGTTGCTTCGCGCTCACATGATTTAGAAACTAAGTGCTGCTGCTACTATCACAATATCAGTGCTGGGTGCTTTTAAAATAAATAATGTCTGCATACGGGAAAACATGTTGTGGTGTTTCTCAAATCTTACCATTCTGTGAGATTTTGGGCAGGAATCTCGGCTGCGAGTGTTTTAAGTTGGCTCAGGGATGGGATTAATGCTCAAGCGGTGGTAATACTTGTACCCGCCGGAACAGACCTCGCCAGAGTTTAATGGAATGGAATGAAAAAACTTTATTTGAGTCCTGCAGGACGCGCTTAGCGCGTAGCGGGCGTCTCCCACGTAGGGACCGACAGGGAGTACCTGGCGGCCGCTTCGTGGGCCTGCTGGACGGCTCATTGCTGGTCGGCGAGAAGTGAGCTCCTGAGGGACATCTCCCACTTGCTTGAGGTAGAGTCGGGAGGAGTTGTTCTACACTCCCAGAGCATGTGTTCGAGTGTCGCTGTGTGTCCACATGATGGGCATGTGTCGCTGGGGTATACATCGGGATAACAAACGTGAAGCGTGGCAAGGTTTGGGTACGTGTGTGTCTGTAATAGGCGTAGGGTTAATGCCTGCAGTCGGTTAAGTTTTGAATGTGGGGGTGGAAAAATGCGGCGTTCCAAGTAAAAGTGCTTTGTAATTTCATTGTACGTAATTGGTGCATCCCGATTGGTATCCAACCCAGCAAGATGAGGTTGCCCTGTGGCAGCGCGGTCGGTAAGTGCGCGCGCTGCATCATGGGCGATCTCGTTGAGGTTGGATAGGGCACCCGGCACCTGGCCGAGATGGGCGGGGAACCAGATGACAGTGTGGTGCTTCAGGGCACTCGGGTCCGCATTGCGCAGGATACGTAACGCCTGGTCAGAGATGACTCCGCGTTCGAAGGCTTTGATGGCCGGCCTGGAGTCGCTGTAGATGAATTCCCGTTTGCTGTCGAGCATAGCTATAGCTATAGCTACTTGCTCCGCTACTTCGGGTTTTCGGGTGAGGATTGTGGCTGAGTTAAGAGTCTGCTGCGCGGATGATACCGCGACCGCGGCGAAGGCTTGGTTGTTGCGATAGGCAGCGGCGTCCACGAACGAGACGTTGTCCGCTTCCATGTCTATGCGCTTGAGAATGGCGGTCGCCCGTGCAAGGCGCCTGCCTCTGTTGTATTCGGGGTGTACATTTCGTGGCATGGGAGCGATCGTGATAAGGTCGCGGATTTCACGGGGAATTAGAATCAACTCTGGGGGGTCCCTGGCCCTCGAAGAGAAGAAGCCGAGCTCGCGCAGAATATGGCGGCCCGCCTTGGTGGTAGTGAGTCGGGTCAATTGCACGCGTTCCTGAGCTTCGGCGATCTCTTCTAGCGTGTTATGTATGCCAAGCTCGAGGAGTTTGTACGTTGGAGTGGTGATAGGGAGGCCAAGGGCTCGTTTGACCACCTTGCGAATAAGCGCATTGAGTTGATCGCGCTCAGCACGAAGCCACTTCTGTATAGCGGCAACGTAGGTAAAATGGCACAAAACAAACGCGTGTACGAGACGCAGCAGGTTGTCTTCTTAGAGGCCATGGTGCCTGTTGGCTACTCTACGTACGAGTCGTATGGCATTCTCAGTCTTAGTCCTGAGCTTGTGTACTGTTTGGGTGTTGGTTCCGCGAGACTCGATGATCATGCCGAGGACCTTGATGGTGTCTACCCTGGGTATAGTACGACCATCTCTGGTGTGGAGGGTGATATTGCGTTCCGCCGGAGGTTTCCACCCTTTGGGCTTGGCACCCCGGCGTTTGGGCAAATATATCA